GGGTATGGTGACAGGTTGCCTGTAATCTCAACTGCTCAGGAGGTTGAGGCAGGAGAAACGCTTGAACCCGGGGAGGCGAATGTTGCAGTGAGCCGACATACTGCCCTTCAGTCTGGGTAACAGAACTAAACTCCATCTAAAAGAAAGAAAAGAAAAGAAAAAGAGCAAATGATAAGTACAAATGGGGAAATTTTGATAAGTGAAAAAGGAAAGTTGAGGGAGTTCAAAAACAAAGAAAGTCGAGAGTAAGTGAGAAAGAACCATCAGGTGAGTAACCCACCTGACCAGATTCTCAGTGTCACCGGGGATCCAGCTGGCAGCAGAGGTAGCGGACTGTAGCTTTTGTCTGTAGTCTGTGGAGGTGGCACTTTGTCTGTCCATCTCTGGTACTGGTCTGCACCACTAGCTATGTAACTTCTGTCCTTCCTTCTTTCTTTTTTTTTGAGACAGCTCTCACCCTGTCGCCCCGTCTGGGGTACAGTAAAGCAATCTCACTGCAGCCTCTATCTCCTGGGCTCAGGTGATCCTCCCACCTCAGACTCCAGAGTAGCTGGGACCACAGGTGCACACCACTATGCCCAGCTAAATTTTGTATTTTTTGTAGAGACAGGGTCTCTCTGTTGCCCAGGCTTGTCTCAAACTCCTGGGCTCTAGCAATTTGCCCACCTCAGCCTCCCAAAGTGCTGGGATTACAAGTATGCACCACCATGCCCAGACTAGCTGGGTAACTTCCAACAAGTGACTAAAGCCTACATGTCCTGATCACTGAATGAGATAATAATAAAAATCTTTGGTAAAATAAAAATTAAAAACTTGGCTGGGCATGGTGGTTCATGCCTGTAATCCCAACACTCTGAGAGGCCAAGCAGGTGGATCACTTGAACCCAAGGGTTTGAGACCAGCCTGGGCAATACTGCAAGACCCCATCTCTATAAAAAATACAAAAATTTGCTGGGCACAGTGATGCATGCTTGCGGTCCCAGCTACTCAGGAGGCTCAGGCAGTGAGGCAGGAGGAGAGCTTGAGGCCAGGAAGTTGAGGCTGCAGTGAGCTGTGATTGGGCCACTGTGCTCCATCCTCGGTGACAAAGCAAGACCCTGTCTCAAAAAAACAACTCTGCCAAAAAAAAAATGGTATGACGCTTTTCAGTCTGGTAAATCCAAATCTACAGAAGCCCAGCTTCTCATAAGAGTAAACTTCACCTATCAAAGATAGCCTCTGGCTCTAAAAATTCTTTCCAGTCTCCCATAGGGATTTCTTCTGGAAGTCAGTGAGCTTTAGGTCTTCTGAAATTTGGCCAGGGGTCTGGGAGGAATTCTTTTCATTTCATGTTACAGACGGAACACTGGAAATGAGAAGGGACCATGGGGAGGCAGTGAGTGAAAGGGGAGGAAGATTCTGACACCCCGAGTTTTACCTTCATTTCCTTCTGTCTATTCCTTATCTAAACTTCCATTTTCCTAGACCATAGATACCCACTCTTATGCCCCTAGCTTGCCTTCAGCTCCTCTACTGCCTTGTAAATGTCCCACGTATATGCTCTAAAAAATAGTGGACTCTGCTATTGTTGGAATCAAATTTGTTAATTGTGTTTATTACATTTGATTATTCTTACCGATTTTTTGTCTGTTTGACCTATCCATTGTGAAGGAAGACATTGTTAAAATTTCTCATGATGATGGTAGATTTCTAAATGTATCCTTGTTTTGTCAATATTTGCTTTGTGCATTTTGAAGTTATGTTATTGGGTGCATAGAAGTATATAAGTGTTATGTTTGCCTGGTGCTTGTTTTGTATATTTTGAAGTAATGTTTTTGAGTGCATACACATAGAGAATTTTTATGTTTTCCTGATGAATTGAACCATTAGCAATACATACTGACTTCTGTATTTCTATTAATGTTTTTGCCTTGAAGTATGATGTTAATATAACTCCTTTGATTCAATTGTCCATTCTTATAGTTTCAAACCTAATACTTCAAGCATGTCTCTTATAAATAGCCTATAACTGCATATGTTTAAATATATAGTCCAACATTCTTTAACTGCAGAGTTAATTTATTTACATTGATAATTATTACTGATAGAGTTTGATGAATTTCCACTATCTTATTTTGGTCTTTAATTTTCTCTTTCTATGCATTTTCCCCCATCTTTTGATTTAAGTAAGATTCTATCCTATTTTATTCTTTTTTTCCAATAGCTTGTAAGTTATTCACTTCACTCTGTCATTTTAGATGTAATTTTTAACATTTTTACATGAATCCAGACTTTACAAAGTCCAGATTTAACCAATATCATAGCTCTCCTCTCAAAGAATAAATAACCTTAGAGCAAATTGCCTCTACAAACCTTTTCTACACAATTCTGTCCTCTTCCTCCTTGCTTCTTTGTGTACATTTATGTTTGCTATTTGAAAGAATTTCCTGAAAGTAAAAGTGAGATTTTTTTAAACAGCAGACATGAGGGCAGCAATGGTAGACTTTCATGTGACTTATGTCCTGCCACCTTGAGCTGTGTGGTTTAGGCAACTTACTTAATCTCTCTGAACTTCAATCTCTTGCTTTGTAAAGCGGGGATGACAATATCTACCTTTCAGAGCCGTAGTAAGCATTGAAGGTAATATATGCAAAGCAGCAGCACAAAGGCAAGGCTCAGATATCATAGTTGTTATTACATAAATAACCCCAAGTGGAGGGCCTGAGCCCTCTGACTTCTTCAAAGATAATGATCTGAACTAAACCACAACATCACACAAACACCTCCCAGCACCCAGATACTTTAGACATAGCTCCACCTCTTTTTAAGAGATAACCTTCAACAGACAGGGGGAAAGCAAGCTCCTTCTTGAAGATTATGATTCTGGATGTTGGAAAAGCATTGAACTGGGAGTCAGGGGACTTGATAATCTGTTATAAACCAAGGCTTGTGGTAATCCAAGGCTTGCCACAAACTTGTGGAATGACCATAGGCTCAGTGTTCTTATGAATGTAGAGGTTGACCTTATGATCTTTGAGGTCTCTTCTAGTTCTCAGATTCTATGATACCTTTAAAAGGGATTTTCAACATGTTTTACACTATTTTATTTTGCACCCAAATCACTTACTTTCTATAAGGCCTAAACTGCTTCTTTGGGTTTCCCAAGGAAGTGAGAGACAACCTTTGATTAGGCACATCTTTGGAGTTCTTATTAAACAGTAAACTTCACCTAACTCTCAGAGATAGCCTCTGGCTCCAACATCCTCTTTCCAGTCTCCCATGGGGATTTCTTCTGGGAGCCAATGAGCTTAAGGGATTGTGCAATTTGTCTGGGGGGGGGGGTTCTTTTCATTTCATATTACAGACAGAGCACCTGAAATGAGAAGGGACCGCGGGGAGCCAGTGAGCGGAATAGGAGGAAGACTGGGCTCTCTGACACCCAGAATCTGTCTGATTCTGATACAGAAGATGAACCATGTTAGAGCAAGAACCAGATCCCTCTTTACCTAGTGGCCCAAGCTTTTGATGCACACCTGTGTCCCTTGTAAAGCTTAGTGAATCATCATGTAGAAGTTTCCTGTGCTCTGTGAGTTATTGTAATCTTCACTGGGTAAAAGTAGAGCTTAAAGCTCTGATACATGGATAGGGAAGAGGAGAGGGATGAAGCCTTTTACCCAGCGCTGGCTGGGCTGAGAGTAAAACAGTTGGACCTTGATTCATCCACAGAGCAAAGGATCTCATCTCAGTCTCGGTCCACAGCCTTTAGAAGCCCATTTTTTCCTTTATCTTTCATGTTGCTCACATGGGCTGCAGGGGCCAGGTGAGTTATCTCTCACTTTGAACATCAGAGAAGAAACAACAACAAAAAAATGACTCAACCCATAAACGCTTCTCACCCACTCAGCTCTCCTCCAGCCAATGATGTTCTATTGACTGTTAGATGCTGAGTGAAGAAGCATCTGGACACAAACAGCTGGGGATACAGGTGCAGCAGCGCCCACAGCGCCCTGGAGGCGTGGGGTCCTGTCCTCACCGAGGGGCAGGTGGAGAGGGGGCCGAGCAGCAGCCGGGGCCTTGCCCGCTGGAGATTCTCACTACCCCAAGTGTGGTCTGCGGATCTGCAGCCCCAGCATCGTGTGGGAGCTTGTTAGAAACAACCTCAACGGGCCTGGCGCGGTGGCTCACGCCTGTAATCCCAGCACTTCGGGAGGCCGAGGCAGGTGGATCATGAGGTCAGGAGTTCGAGACCAGCCTGACCAACATGGTAAAACCCCCATCTCTACTAAAAATACAAAAATGAGCCAGACATGGTGTCAGGCATCTGTAGTCCCAGCTACTCGGGAGGCTGAGGCAGAGAACTGCTTGAACCCAGGAAGCAGAGGTTGGAGTGAGCTGAGATCCTGTCACTGTACTCCAGCCTGGGCGACAGAGCAAGACTCTGTCTCAAAAAAAAAAAGAAAGAAAAGAAAAAAGAAATAGCCTCCACCACCACACGTGCCCTGTTAAATCCCAATCTGCGAGATCCTGGGCAGGGGGTGGGGTGGGGGTGGTCTGCACACACGCTGCTGGGAACCACCTCGGCACCCGTCCTGCCGGCTCTGGGGCAGCCAGCCAGGATGTCCTTCTTCCTCGGCTGTGGCGTCCGCTCTCTACTCAAATGACTGTCTCCCACATCGCCTTCCAGGGTGGGTATTTCTGGTTAACTCAAGGGAGGCAAAAGTAGCTCAGGGCAAAATGAATTTTAGTTCTACTCCAATTCTAATAATGAAGAGTTAAAAATTAAAGGGGCAGCTTTCAGACTGGGGGAGTAGGGCTGTGGGTATGAGGCCAAATCAGATAAAGAGGGCTGGTTATTCTACATCAGGGAAGCCCGCAGGCGCTGTGTTTGTCCTTACTGTGAATGGAGCCCCTTGTTTGTGTGTTTTGTTTTGTTTCCACTTAAGCTCAGTGGCAAGAAATAATAAGGCATCTTGCCAGGAGGAGCAGATAGTGACGAGGAAGGCAAAGACCACCTCATTTCACCAAGTTCCTCATCTTTTATTTGAAATCCAATACGTAGAGGCCGCACATTTGTCCTTCTGGAAAGAGCGATAAGTGATTGAGAGCAGAGTGTCACACTCGAAAGGAGAGAGCAGGTGTCTCGGAGTCAGAAAAGCTGGCTTGAATCCCTGTATCTGTCACTGTTTGTCCGGGGCTAGGTCGTTCTGGTCATGTATGGCAGGAGGACGACAAATGGCTGGCCTTTCCCTTTCTAGCAGGTACACGAAGAGACAGAGAAGTTGAATCTTTAGCAATCCATTGAATGGGAAACCTCACAGTGGAAAGAGAAGCACTGTCCAGGGCCATTCATTCGTACCCACCTTTCTCCCAGACCTGTTCTGTGATGCAGTCCAGAGGAGGTGGCCCTCCATCACTGTCACTTGTGATTGCCAAGGTCTCAGCCAGACAAAGCAAAAGCTCTCACAGAGTGTTGCCTTTCAACTGCATTCGGAATTCCTGGAGGCAACAAATCCACAAGAAAAGATACACCCACAAGCGTGCATTTCAGCAGCAATGATGAAGTGAGGTGGAAAAGGATGAGCGGCAGGTGGGATTCTGCCCGTGTCTGTTTAATACCATCCACAGCGAAATCCAGCGTAAGATGTGAAACACTCTCAACATCAGAAGAGCTCTGTCTGACTCTTGTCTTGTGCATGTCCCAGGCCAAAGCCCTCGGCATTTTCAGGATTCACGATAACTGCTGGCTGTCTCTTTTTCCCTCTGCCCACATAAAAGGCACAAAAACTAAAGAGGAAGGCCACACCACCGCAGAGCCTGTGGTTCAGGGTTCTCCTCCTGGGAGCCCTGATTCCTTTCTTTCTTTCTTTCTTCTCACCTTAACAGTGTCCAGAGTACGTCCATTGCCAGAATAGGGATACAGCCTGCTCATAGCCCCATGTGGGGCCCAACGCTCAGGAGCAAAGGGAGAGACTAGGCATGTGTGCAACAGAGAAAATTCAGCTCCACAGAAATCATGTGCAAGAGCAGCTCCGTCCAACCTGAATGTGGCTTTGGGAAGCCCCCTAGAACTTGGCCTGCTGCCACTCACCCACTTACAGCCTGCTACCATGAAGGCAGGCCCCAACTCTCCATCCCTGCTGTCACAGGGAGACCCAGGCAAGACCCTGAAGCAAACAGAAAGCCCCTGGAGTCAGGGGGCAAGGGACCCCTGGCTCTCTCAGGGTGCCATTCAAGTTTCTGGGCTAGTCCTAGCAGACTACCACCCAGTTGCCTGGTGCTGGGCAGGGTAGACAGGGACTCCACTGCTTCTCAACCTGTGCCAACCCCTTTGGGTGACACCCTAGGATGGGGTGGGGAGCCCCAACTTCTAATCCTTGAGCGTTTACCACCCCATGCCCCCAACTCCCAGATTGATCATCTCAAATTTTCCCACAGTCTGTAGGCACCAGACACTTCACTCTCAGAAAAGATGATGATGTCTACATCCAGAATTGCCCATACTTTAAAATTACAGGGAGGAAAATATTCCCTTTCTCACCTTTTGTTTTTCCTGCTCTTAAGGTGGAAATTTGTTCATTACATTTTCCCATCTTCTAAGGAAAATTCTGTCTTCCTCCCAAGCTCCCAGGCCCCTTGTGGTGTGAGCTGGGGGAGTGCGTAGAGCTGGAATTGGAAAATATTTGAGGAAATAATGGTTTATGTAGAGCAGACCCCCTGGGAGAAGCAGGAAGTGGGTCTGGAAAGACAGGAGGAAATGTGAAGGCAGAGAAAAGGCCTTGCTAGCTGAATTTTGAGAAGTAATTTTTAGCATTGTTAGTGAGAAAAACTAGAATGAGGGCAGTTGTATGCTGTCTTAAAAAATAAAAGAATGGGCCAGGCGCAGTGGCTCAAGCCTGTAATCCCAGCACTTTGGGAGGCCGAGGTGGCTGGATAACCTGAGGTCAGGAGTTTGAGACCAGCCTGGCCAACATGGCGAAACCCCGTCTCTACTAAAAGTACAAAAATTAGCCAGGTGTGGTGGCGGGCACCTGTAATCCCAGCTACTCGGGAGGCTGAGGCAGGAGAATCGCTTGAACCCAGGAGGCGGAGGTTGCAGTGAGCCAAGATTGTACCACTGCACCCCAGCCTGGGTGACAGAGCAAGACTCCATCTCAAAAATAAAAATAATAATAATAAAATAAATGAAAGATTGATCATACAGGGAAAGATGATTTTAACATTTTGGAGTTACAGAAATGGAATCTTCCTTTGTTATTGTTGTACAAGACTTTTAGACAAATATTTTATTCCTTTTTTTGGATGTTGTTCTGTTGCTGCCTTTATAACACTATGCTGAGAAGGGCTAAAAAGTATCCCAAATTTATTCCCATTAGCTTGGAAAAGAGCAACCCTTCAGGGTACCTTCCCTCACACTCTTCCACCTCCTGCTGCCTTCAGGTGATGTTTGGAACTTCCTGGCAAGGCCTTTCAGGGAAAAGGACAGCCAAGCTCTTCAGTAGTTACTGAGCTACAGACCTGGAGGTGTCATGTTCCTAAATTCCAGGAAAGCTTCTTTATGAAAAGAAAGTCTGTGAGAATAAGAAGTTCTGAAACTTCCCCTTGTCCCTGCATGACCTCTTCAGACACTTAGGCTAATTTATAATGACTCTGAAAATGTCCATGACCTCGTCTAGAAAAACTCACCATCATGGAATTAAAGCGTTTCTAAGGCACAAAATTGCCTCCAAGACAATTTGTCTGCTTCTTTTCAAATTGATGTGTTTAGAAATGTTCTTGGCTTGTGATTGAGAGCTCAGATTCCAAAAGCATCTGAGGTCAATCCTGGCTATTTGTGCTAATGAATAATTACAAAATAGTTGCTAAGTATGCTTCTCCATGATTTTGTTGAGCTAAAAATTACTTGTAAAGAAATGCACAGATCTGAGGCATACAATTTCATGAGTTTTGACAAATGTGTACAGCTGCATAAACGTTTTCATTACTTCTGCCTTCTGGTCAATATCCACCTACCACAAGAAACCACTCTCTGTCTCTAGTTATAACTTTTGTCTTTTTTTGAACTTCATATAAATGGAAGCAAAGTGTAGGTACTATTTTGTGTCTAGCTTATTCTAGTCAATATATTTTTGAGATTTATTAATGTTGCCTGTATCGACAGTTCATTGTTTTTATTTTTGAGTGGTTTTTGTAGTATGACTATATCATAAGCTACTTGTCTGTTCTCCCAATGATGGATATTTGAATTACTGAGTTGGTTATTACTAATAAAGCTACTATGTCCTAGAATAGAAGGGGCTTAATAAAAGAAAGAAGTTTTATTTTTAAATAAATATTTTATGAAGTCTTTCTGTAGGCTGGGCACAGTGGCTCACACCTGTAGTCCCACCACTTTGGCAGGCTGAGGCGGGTGGATCACGAGATCAAGAGACCAAGACCATCCTAGCCAACATGGTGAAACCCTGCCTTTACTAACAATACAACATTAGCTGGGTGTGGTGGCGGGCGCCTGTAATCCCAGCTACTTGGGAGACTGAGGCAAGAGAATTGCTTGAACCCAGGAGGCAGAGGTCACGGAGAGACGAGATGGGGCCATTGCACTCCAGCCTGAGCAACAAAAGTGAAACTCCATCTCAAAAAAAAAAAAAAAAAAAAGAAACTCTTTCTGTAAACACATCTTAGATAAATACCTAGGAGTAGAACTGCTGAATTGTAGGGTAGGTATATATTTAACTTCAATAAAAATACTTTTTTTTTTTTTTTGAGACAGAGTCTCACTCTGTCACCCAGGCTGGAGTGCAGTGGTGCTCTCAGCTCACTGCAACCTCTGCCTCCTAGGCTTAAGCGATTCTCCTGCCTCAGCCTCCAGAGTAGCTGGGACTACAGGCATGTGCCACCATGCCTGGTTAATTTTTATACTTTTAGTAGAGACAGAGTTTCACCATGTTGACCAGGCTGGTCTCGAACTCTTGATCTCAAATGATCCACCCACCTCAGCCTCCTAAAGTGCTGAGAATACAGGCATGAGCCACCACGCCCAGCCAAAATACTTTCAAGTAAGTGTCCCAAAGTAATTGCATTACTTACACTGCCATCAGTAATGTAAGAGAGTTCTGTAGCTCTGCTTCCTCTCCAATATTTGGTGTATCAGTCTTTTACCCATTTCCTCCATTTCCCCAATGGGCTATCTCATCATCGTGGTTTTCCATTTGCATTTTATTGATAGCCGATATTAAGCACACTTTCAAGTGTTTATTGATAATCATATATCTTCTTTGGGGAAGTGATTGTTCAAATCTTTACCCATTTTTTGGGCTGTTTGCCTTTTAGTATTGCTTTGTTGTTCTTTACATACTCTGGACACAAATGTCTGTGACAAATATATATGTTGCAAATATTTCTCTCAGTCCATCATTTACTTTTCATTTTCTTAATGACTTGGATGAGTAGACATTTTCCATTTTTTCTTTTATAGTTAGTGCCTTTGCCTCCTCTATAAGCAATCTTTGCCTGTCTCCAACTTGCAAAGCCATTTGCCTTTACCTCTTCTAAAAGCTTTATAGTTTTGCCTTTTATAGTTACTTCTATAATGTATAGATCTAGTATATAGATCTTTGTGCTTATATATAAAATAAAATTAATTCTTGCATAAGAGGTGAGGTTCTTTTTTCCTCATACATTTATCCATGTGTTCCAGAGCATTTGTTGAAAAGATTTTCCCTTTCTCATTGAATTTCCTTGGCACATTTATTTGCGAAAAACAAAAAAAAAAATCAATTGAAGAAACATGAATGAGTCCATTTCAGGACTTTCTGTTCTGTGTCATTACTGTTTGTCCTTATGCCAATACTATGCTGCGTTGATTTTCATAGTTTTGTAGAAAGCCTGAATATCAGATGTCATGAATCCTCCAAATGTGTACACCTTGTTACGATTGTCTTAGCTATTACAGGTCTTTTCCATTTCCAAGGAGGTTTTAGAAATAACTTGCCAATTTCTACTAAAAAGTGTTGGATTTTTAGATTGTAGTTGCCTTGAATGAATTGATCAATTTAAGGTGAATAGATTTTTTTAAATAAAGGTTCCAGTCTATAAATCTTGTATATTTTTCCATTTGCGTAGTTTTTTTAAATACGTCTCAGCAATATTTCAGAGTTTTCAGTTTAGTGGTATTACAAGTTTTTGGTAGGCTTATTTATAAACATTTTATGTTTTTTAATGTAATTGTAAATACAATTGTTTTTAAAGTTTTAATTTTCTAGTTGGTTGCATCAGTATACAGAACTAACCTACAAGTGATACATATATATACTGAAATTGCTAACCTTGCTAAATTCTGGTAGCCATTTTGCAGATACCTCAGTAATTTTATGTAAACAATCATGTTATCTGAGAATAATGTTTCTTAAGATCTACTTCCTGATATTAATACAACCATGTCAGCTTCCGTATGTTTATCTTTGTAGCATATATCTTTTTCTATCCTTTTTCTCAACCCATCATTTTTATTGTATTTAAAGTGTGTTCTCCTGAAGACAGGTTATAGTTGGGCCCTGCTGTTTAATCCAGTCTGAAAGTTTCTGTCTTTTAATGTATGAATTTTTGTCCATTGATGTCTAATGTGACTACTGATAGGGTTGGCTTCAAGTCTACCTTCTTGCTACCTGTTTCTCAGTTGTTCCATTTCTATTTTTATTACTCTATTCTTCCTTTTCTCTCTTCAGTTTGGCTAACCAAACAAATTAAGTATTCTTTTCAGCTACACTCTCTTTCTAGTATTATTTGGTGGTTTCTCTACGCTATTCAGTACGCATTCTTAACTTGTCACAATCTACTTACTTAATATTGTACCATTTTCTACGTGATATAAAAAACCTAAAACAGTACAATTCCATCTTCCCTAACTTTTATACTAGAACTGCTGTATATTTTACATTTACATGTTCAATAGAACCCATTGTACCATATTATTATTTTTGTTTTAAACAGTTCTCTTTCAAAGACATTAAAAAGTGATCTTTTCACTTATCTAAGTATTTGTTCGTGTTCTTCGTTGTTTCCTGCAGATTTATATTTCTAGCTACTGTAATTTCTCTGTTGCTTGAAAATTTTTCTTTAGCATAATGCAGATGTGCCAGAACAAATTCTCTAAGCTTTCTTTTATCTGAAAATATACCAAATTCATTCTCATTTTCGAAGGATATTGTCTCTAGGTAGAATTCAAGGCTGACAGGCTTTTTCTTTTAAAACTTTAAGTACGTTATGCCATTATTTTCTGTCTTCCATAGTTTCGTTGAGAAGTCACTCATTATTCATCATTGTTCCCCTGCAGGCATGTGTCCTTTCCCTCTGACCACTTTTAAGGTTTTTTCATTATCTTTGGTTTTCAGCAGTTTAGCTATGATGTATCTAAATGTGCTTTTCTTTATATGTATCCTGCTTGGTGTAGTGAACATCTGGATCTGTAAGTCAATATTTGTCATCAAATTTCCAAAAATTTTGGCCATTATTTCTTCATATATTTTTTCTGCTCCATGCTTTCTCTCTTCTCTCCTTGGGAATTCACTTAAATGTAGGTTACCTTATTTGATATTGTCTCACAGGATACCAAAGATCTATTCTTTTCCAAATTTTTTGTGTACATCAGTTTGGATAACTTCTATTGATTTGCCTTCAAGCCCTGGCTGGGCTCATTTCAGATATTGTAGCTTTTAGTTTTCTTATTTTTAAAAATATTGGCTGGGCACAGTGGTTTGGGCCTGTAATCCCAGCACTTTGGAAGGCCAAGGCAGGCAGATCACCTGAGGTCAGGAGTTTGAGACCAGCCTGGTCAACATGGCAAAACCCCGTCTCTACTGAAAATATGAAAATTAGCCGTGTGTGGTAGCACGTGCCTGTAATCCAAGCTACTTGGGAGGCTGAGGCAGGAGAATCACTTGAACCTGGGAGGTGGAGGTTGCAGTGAGCCAAGATTGCACCACTGCATTTCAGCCTGGGCAACAGAGCAAGACTCCATCTCAAAAAAAAAAATTAATAGTTTTCATTATATACTGAGATTATTCTATTGTTTCACTCATTATAACCATTTTTTCTTTAAATTAGCACTTGGCAATTTTTTTTCTGAAAGGGCCAGAACGTAAATATTTTAGGCTACCTGGCCATATAATCTCCACTGCAGCTATACACTCTGCCATTATAGCAGAAAAGCAGCCAAAGACACAATGTAAATAAATGAGTGTGTCTTTCTTCCAATAAAACCCTATTTATAAAAATAAACGGCAGCAAATCTGCAGGTCATAGCATACTGACCTCTGCTTTAAGTCATTGAGCATACTTATTACAATTGTTTTAAACTCCTTGTGTGCTAATTCCAAAATCTGGGTCATTTTAGGGGTCTGGTTTTTTGTTTTTTTTTCATTTTGAGACAGTCTCACTCACTCTGTAACCCAGGCTGGGGTGCTCAGCTCACGTAACCTCCACCTCCCAGGCTCAAACGATTCTCCTTTTGCAGGAGTTAAAGGTTAAGGTAAACTTCAGTCCAGTCTCTGAATTACCGTTCTCTTTTTCTGGACAGTGAGAAAAAGGAAAGGAACACAGCTACCATCTATTCCATGCCTATTATTTTCTGGGCTTTCTGCAAGTTACCTTAGTATATTATTTCCTATAATCGTTAAGTCAATAAAATAATGATTATTTGTTTTGTTTTGTTTTTTGAGACAGAGTTTTGTTTTTGTTGCCCAGGCTGGAGTGTAATGGCACAATCTTGGCTCACTGCAACCTCCACCTCCCAGGTTCAAGTGATTCTCCTGCCTCAGCCTCCCGAGTAGCTGGGATTACAGGCGCATGCCACCATGCCCAGCTGATTTTGTATTTTTAGTAGAGACAGGATTTCTCCATGTTGGTCAGGCTGGTCTCAAACTCCCGACCTCAGGTGATTCACCCTCCTCAGCCTCCCAAAGTGCTGGGATTACAGGCATGAGCCACCGTGCCGGCTTAAAATAATTATTACTACACCATGAAGCTGAGCCTTAGAGAAGTAAAACAATAAAACTATGTGGCTTATAAGCTGCTGGAGCTAGAAGTTAGAAATCCATCTTTCTCCCTTCCCACCATGCTGCCGGCTGCTCTTGCCTTATCATGGAATTACCAAATTTATTGAGTGCTTATGTTGCCTGTTCCAGTGTAATTTCTGGCCCATGGAGCCCATTTAAATTGCTTTTGCTTAGTTCCTTGTTGGTTAGAGATGGCCAAGCTGTCTGATTTCTCCCTACCTTGGGTTTTTAGTTTAGTTTTGTTTTTTTTTTTTTGAGACAGAGTCTTGCTGTGTCATCTAGGCTGGAGTGCAGTGGCATGATCTCGGCTCACTGCAACCTCTGCCTACTGGGTTCAAGTGATTCTCCTGCCTCCGCCTCCCAAGTAACTGGGATCACAGGCACATGCCACCATGCCTGGCTACTTTTTTTGTATTTTTAATAGAGACTGTGGTTTTCACCATGATGGCCAGGCTGGTTTCCAACTCCTGACCTCATGTGATCCACCACCCTGGCTTCCCAAAGGTCTGGGATTACAGACCCCTGCTTTCCTGCCTCTTCCTGTCCCCGCCATCTCCCCATCCCCTTCTTTTATCCAGCATGTGATATTTTCCCCCAAAATTGAATCTCTGGAAGCAGAGAACTTGTTGCCAAGTATGCAATGGAATTATTTTTCTGATTAGACCTGTGCATGTTTCCCCTTCATAGTTTGATGTTTGACCATTACTTCTGATGTCCTTAGTGAGACACCAGAGTCCTTCTTTTCAGGCTGAGGGAGGGTAGGGTCTTCATAATATAGGAAGGTATTTGGTGAACTCAGAAGTGGGCAGGTGAGTGTGAAATACACATTCCTGTTTGCCAGATGTTCAGTGAAGCACTTTCTGTGTATTTCTCAAAATTATGGCACAGAATCATTAATTATAGAAAGTCTAGCCATTCGTATATCCTAAAAGTATTTTGCACAGACACATTGTGTCCCTCAATTAAATAGACGTAACTCTGCTCCTTCCTTTCTCCACATTTCTTGGCCCTCCTCTCTCTTTCTATACTTGCTTGACATGAGGCATATGCAGAATAAAACCTCATTAATTTCTACTCATCAGGTTTGAAATACATTGTGCTTTGGAGAGGAACTTGCTTGTCAGTAACTTTTGAGCCAGCTCTGATACAAAGGCTTCTAAAGGACAACGGTAGCAGCCTTAGTTCCTTTCTAGCAAAAAGTGGGGCATAAAATCTTTTAAATAAAATGAAGAAATAGGCGATTAAGTCATTACAGGATTAAATATGTGAGTACTTGCCTGGGACCTCTTGAGCTCCTAATAGGCTTCACTTTTTCTTTGCAGAGCTCTGTGACGATGACCCGCCAAAGATCACATACGCCACGTTCAAAGCCTTGGCCTACAAGGAAGGGACCATGTTGAACTGTGAATGCAACAGAGGGTTCCGCAGAATAAAAAGCGGGTCGCCCTACATGCTCTGTACAGGAAACTCTAGCCACGCGTCCTGGGAGAACCAATGTCAGTGCATAAGCTCTTGTAAGTGTTCCTTCTGTGACTACCGAGAAAAAGAGAAGCGCAACAGAGAGCGAGACAGAGCCTGGCTTCTGCTCCCTCAGCCCTGCAGACACCCATGGGCCAGTCCAGTCTATAGGAAAACTAACTTCAGGGATTCCTGAAATAGTCATTCACTAAACACAATTTTATTACTATTTTTGAGACAGTCTTACTCTGTCACCTAGGCTGGAGTACAGTGGTGCAATCTCAGCTCACTGCAACCTCCACCTCCCGGGTTCCAGTGAGTCTCGTGCCTCAGCTGCCTGAGTAGCTGGGACTACAGGCATGCACCACCATGCCTGGCTAGTTTTTGTATTTTTAGTAGAGACGGGGTTTCACCATGTTGGCAAGGCTGGACCTGAACTCCTGGCCTCAAGTGATTCTCCTGCCTGGGCCTTATAGGCGCACACCACCATGCCTGGCTAATATTTTGTATTTTTTGGTAGAGATGGCGTTTCACCATGTTTCCCAGGCTAGTCTTGAACTCCTGGGCTCAAGCAATCCTCCTGCTTCAGCCTCCCAAAGTGCTGGGATTATAGGTGTAAGCCACCACACCTGACCTAGATGCCCTCTTTTATCCTGAGCTGGAATTCTGATCACCCTCCCTTCACTGAGGCATTCAAACTCAACTCCTTTGCCAAACTCTTCACAATAGAGAGAGGGTTGTTCTAGAAGTTTCCTTGTCATTGCATCAAGATGGCATCTCTAATTTTAAGCATTCTGAACAGCCTTAGGGAGCAAAGGATCAGTGCGTTGTGGAGTGAGACCACTCCTGCTGCCATCAAACAACACAGAGACAATTGACAGCAAGCAACAAGTCCCTTTTGGTGAGACACACACACACACACATATGGATAACATATGCGGCATACAGACACACATACACACATTCAGAAACATGTCGTGGGCACTGCCATATGCACATGAATACTGAGCGGCCGGTCCTGGGAGGGGCGTGAGCCAGCACCACCCGAGGGAGGGAGTGCTCTGGTTTCATCTTTGTAAGCTTGGCAGACACCGCCAGACACATCGTGGGCACTGGCCAGGTGTGCTTCTCCAGTGAATAAATACATGAACAGTGTTGTTTTTTTTTTTTTTTTTTTTTTTTTTGAGACAGATTCTCACACTCTTACCCAGGCTGGAGTGCAATGGCGCGATCTTGGCTCACTGCAACCTGCGCCTCCCGAATTCAAACAATTCTCCTGCCTCGGCCTCCCGAGTAGCTGGGATTACAAGCCTGTGCCACCACATCTGGCTTTTTTTTTTTTTTGGTAGTTTTAGTACAGACAGGGCTTCACCATGTTGGCCAGGCTGGTCTTGAACTCCTGACCTTGTGACAGGCCTGTCTTGGCCTCCCAAAGTGCTGGAATTATAGGCATGAGCCACCGCGCCCGGCCATGAACAGTGTTTTCTATCAAGCATTTGTGAAATCATCTGCATGATTCCATCCATATTTTCTAGCCCCTAGGAACACAACAAAACAAGTGACACCTCAACCTGAAGAGCAGAAAGAGAGAAAAACCACAGAAATGCAAAATCCTATGCAGCAGGTGGACCAATCGCGTCTTCCAGGTGAGAGATGAATCTGCCTCCAGCTCACGCCTATGAGCCCACCCTTCTCTTGCAGGTAGATGATGTGTATCCAAAGGAAGAAAGTCCTCCCTACCTTCCGTAAACACGGGCATGCCGCTCCCCTCCTCCCAGGACATCACTGTGGGCAAGAACAAGTGCAGGCTGCTCAAAGGCTGTTTGCTCAGCCACTTAAGCCAATCTGATGGCAGCCAGTCCAGGCCTGGGCTTACTCTCTGGTTTGGTAACTGGCCAAATAGAATTCAACCCAAATTCAACTCAACTTACAAGCATCTGTTGGGTCTGTGTGCCAGGCTGTGTTGACAGAAGACACAATCAAGAATGTGACAACGACCCCTGCCCTCAAGGAAATGCTCTGTGTCTTCCCCTTAAGCACAAGACAATGCACTGCAAAAAAATTGTTTACTTCCCAGTATTGCTTTCAGGGAAATGTTACAAAATGTGCATGCCACTCTTGTGAGTCTCAAAAGCTCCAGACGCACATGTCCCGGCCAGCAGTCTGTGCGTGAGTGTGTACTGCAGCCGCCCCTTGCCTGCCCTCAGCTTTCCCAAATGAATCATGATTTAGTCATTGTGTCAAGAAAATGGGCCAGGTGCGGTGGCTCACGCCTGTAATCCCAGCACCACAGGAGGCCAAGGCAGGCAGATCACTGGAGGTCAGGAGTTTGAGACCAGCCTGAACTCCTGACCAGCCTGGCCAACATGGTGAAACCCTGTCTCTATAGTCATACAAAAATTAGCCAGGCATGGTGGTGGACACCTGTAATCCCAGCTACTCAGGAGGCCAAGGCATGAGAATTGCTTGAAATTGGGAGGCAGAGGTTGCAGTGAGCAGAGATTGCGCCACTGCACTCCAGCCTGGGTGACAGGGCAAGACTGTCCCCTCTCAAAAAAAAAAAAAAAAAGAAAAACAGAACCCGCTAGGAAGAACTTAGCTTTCTGAGGTCAGGCCGACCTTAGGAAACTTCAGAGCTCTATGCTAATATATAACTTCACAAAGAACTGGATCAGATATCATCCCATTGGAGCCTGGCAATACAACGAGTCAAGGACCAGGAAGTGTTGCTTCAATTTACTGAAGAAATTGAGATGCAGAGAAGTTAAAAAGACTTGGCTAAGCTCACATAGTAGGGCTGACATCAGACCTCCTATGTGATCTAATCAGGGCTCCCAGATTAGATGAGGAAACTTTCTGCTCATTACTTATTTTAAATTAGTTGGGATTTACTTACAGCTTCCATTATTGTATTTTTTTGAACAGACTAATCTAGGGGCACAGCTGCAACACGATGTTCTTACCCTTCCCTGCCCCCAGCTTTGTCCTGGAATGGCGTTTCCAAGCACGTGGGTTTGTCTTACTCTACTTCCTCCATATCACCCTGCAGAGTTACTGGAAGGCTTCAAGAGGCCAGCGCTTTGTCCTTTCTCGAAGGCTGGTTCTGGCTGAGGGATGTTTCGAAGATCGTTTCAGTTCGGGTGTTTTCATTGGAAAGAAGCAAACCCAATTCAAACATGTTCAGATAGTTATGAATTGTATTGGCTGTCAAACAGCCTTTTATCCTGGGACCAAAACACAAGCTCAGTCGTGATGTTCAAGGTGCCACACAGCAGGAGCCAGCCTGGGACTGGGACAGAGCCACCCGGCTTCCTGCTGGGCAGAGGCTCCGTAGGAGACTTACAGAGGCTGTGCTGGGTATGCAGGGCTGGGGAGAGTCTGGAGGTTCGGAGCACATGTACAGTTTCACAGGCTGGGGTTAGAGGGCACATACAATTCCATATGTCCAGGTTGGGGGCTGTGGGTGGGGAATTCTGAGATGTAATCAGAACAAGACAGGGTCTCAGGCCACAGGTAGTTGGGTGAGTGGAAAGTTCTGTGGCATAGGAAATTTTGAGAGTCTTGACAGGGTGCATGTGTGTCAAGCTTCAGGTGTGTCTTGATCAGAGATGGTGCTCCATTTCCCTGAGGTTCCCTCAGCCTGTCCCTCCTCCTGGCTTTGGTGTTGTCCCCAGTCCTTCTGCCATCATCCCAAGATGCCCACCAGCCACCCCCGAGAATGAGCTTCCTCACTTGTCTGGAAGAAATCCAAGGTGGTCCTCATGCTCCACTGGCCCAAATAGGCTTGAGCCTACCTTTGTGCCTCAGCTAAGACTGCCCCACACATTCCCGTCCACTGTGTCTTCCAAGAGCCAGCTGTGGTGTTCCTCTCTCTTGGGGCAGCAACAATCAGAATGAATTGCTCATTCTTCTGCGTTCGTATAGCCAGAGTCTGCTCCTCGTGACAATCTTCACATGCCTTTCTTCCCCAAGTCTGCCCCTTGCAGGAGTGACAGGGTCTTCGTGCCTTCCCACAGGGTCTAGCAAACTTCCCCATGCTCAGGTGTTCTCAACATATATTGGTTGAAAGGATGAGCAAGCATTCAAAAGAGTAAGAACCGGTCGGGTGAGGTGGCTCAAGCCTGTAATCCCAGCACTTTGGGAGGCCAAGGCGGGCAGAGCACCTGAGGTCAGGAGTTCGAGAGACCACCAGCCTGGTCAACATGCAGAACCCCCATCTCTACTAAAAATTAGCCGGGCGTGGTGGCAGATGCCTGTAATCCCAGCTAATCGGGAGGCTGAGGCAGGAGAATTGCATGCACCCAGGAGGTGGAGGTTGCGGTGAGCCGAGATCACACCACTGCACTCCAGCCTGGGTGACAGAATGAGACTGCGTCTCAAAAAAAAAAAAAAGAGTGAGAACAAAGGGCCAGTCCCTAGCAAGAGGCAGCCTGGACTCCGCACTGTCTCCAACTTGCCTTCAGAGCGTTCTTTCCCTCTTCCAGGTCACTGCAGGGAGCCTCCGCAGTGGGAAAACGAAGGCACAGAAAGAATATATCATTTCGTGGTGGGGCAGACGGTTCACTACCAGTGCATCCAGGGATACAGGGCTCTACACAGAGGTCCTGCCGAGAGCATCTGCAAAATGACCCACGGAAAGACAAGGTGGACCCAGCCCCAGCTCGTGTGCACAAAGCAAACAGAGCCCAGCCAGTTTCCAGGTAAGGCAGCTCCCGTCTGGGGTCCACAACATTGCTTTTCTCCATCAGGCTGACCAGGGCAAGAGCCTTGACCTCTCCTGCTGTGTGTCTTTGAACAAGCCCCTTGATATCCCAGGACTTCCATTTTTTTCTCATTCTGAAAAAAAAAAATTAAATGGACCAGATAGACCCCAAGGGCTCCTTCAATTAAGGTCCCCCTGTGCCCTGAGTGGGGAGAAAGGTACAGACGGAAGAGAAGGAAAGGTCTAAAGGTCTCTCCCAAGCACCCTAGGTGCTGCCTCACAGTTGCTCCTGAGTCCACTACTCCCTGAGCCACCAAGATCTCTTCTGGCTCCAAGGGCACGTCCAGTGCCCCACACACGTGTTTTTCCTCTTACTGGTGGCTGTGTAAAGGCGTGATTTGAACAGTGCCCCGCAGTCAGCATGCTCCTTCCCCGTGCCATCCGCGGCTGAGCTTAGACAAACATGAAGAGAGTGCACATGTGCATGCACACACACACATGCAAACACTCAGCCCACCCATGTCAGGTCTGCTGCAATCTTCCTTCTGAAATCTTAGTATCACGACAATCAAAAGTGACTTACACACAGGCCGAGCACGGTGGCTCACTCCTGTAATCCCAGCACTTTCGGAAGCCAAGGCAGGTGAATCACTTCAGGTCGGGAGTTTGAGACCAGCCTAGCCAATATGGTGAAACTTTGTCTCTACCAAAAATACAAAACTTAGCTGGGCGTGGTGTTGGGTGCCTATAATCCCAGCTACTCAGGAGGCTGAGGCAGGAGAATCTCTTGAATCTGGGAGGTGGAGGTTGCAGTGAGCCGAGACAGCACCACTGCACTATAGCCTGGGCAACAGAGCAAGACTCCATCTGAAAAAAGAATTAATAGTTTTCTCTTTATCTCCTATTGTTTCAGTCATTATAACCACGACACTGTCTCAAAAAAAAAATGACTTTACATTCAAGTATTCCTGGTTTTCTTGCTCACTGTACTTCTCATACTCCACGTCCTTCTCTTGGTTTCTCTGGGGAGGCTGTTTTGTTCCCTCAGCTGCCTCCCTGGGCCACCCTAACAGCCAGGGAATGCCTGTTGCTTCCTTAGAAGAGGCTGAGCAGCAGGGCAGAGCCAGGGTTGCTGACCCCCCAGAGGAGGGGAGGGTCTGGCACGTAAGCAGCTGTCCTTAGCACATCTCTGCTCCATCCAACGGCTCACTGGCATTCGTATCATTATGACCTGTTTCCAAGTCACAGATGGAAACCAGGGCTGAATAGGGAGGCTGGGGAGAAAGCATTGCTCAGAGTTTTGGGGACAGCCGGGGTCAAAATTGGAATTCAGCCTCACCTGCTCTGCTGAGGCCACTTCACCGCTTCCCAGTGCCCTGGAGTGGAACCATCTGGGGTGGCATCCCCTGGCAGGGTGCCCACACCAGGATTCCTGCCTCCTCGGGTGTACCTGGGGCCGGCTGCCTCGGGTGGGGTGGGACTGAGGCCCTGACTCGTCTTTAGCTCCCGCAGCATCACTCACTCTCTCCCCCAGGCGAAGAGGAGCCTCAGGCAAGCCCCGACAGCCTTCTTGAGAGTGAGACTTCCTGCCTCATCACAACGACAGGTGCGGGAGAGTTTCCAAGAAGACAAAGGCTGGACCACAGAGGTCTAGTCCAGAGGACAGGGTGGCCAGGAGGCAGGCTCAGGGAGATGGGCAGAGGTGACCTGTAGGGGAGAAACCTGCAGCAGCCTCCTCTCCCTCTGAGCAGGGACAGGACCTCAGCGACTGCAGGCCCCAAAGCAAGTGTCAGAAAGAGGGACCAGGACCAGGACCAAGCACGGTCCCCAGGCAGAGATGGAACCCCTGCCCTCACCACCACCGTGTGTCTCCCCCCAGCCTTTGAGCTTCTCATCCACAGAGAAGCCCTGACTTCCTTTAGCCTCGTGCCATCCTAAAGTCATCATAGCAGGAGTGTCTCTCTTTATCTCCTTTTCACAGATTTTCAGATACAGACAGAAGTGGCTGCGACCATGGAGACGTTCATACTTACAACGGGGTACCAGCTAGCAGGTGAGTGGGCACTTGCTTTGTGGACAAAATGTCCACCCAGGCCGAGATGTGGACAGGTTGACTGGTTGGTAGGTTGGTAGATAGGATGGTTAGTTGATTGGCAGGTTGGTTCATAGGTTGGTAGGTTAGTAGGTTAGTTGGTTGGCAGGTTGGTTTGTATGTTGGTAGGTTAGTTGGTTGGCTGGTAGGTTGGTAGATTGGCAGGTTGGTTAGTTGGTTGGTAGGTTAGTAGGTTGGTTAGTTGGTTAGTTGATTGGTAGGTAGGTTGGTTGGTTGGTTGAAAGGACCCCTTCCTTACACTGCAAAATGTGTGAGTAAAAGACTAATCCAGATACCGACATAACTCAGAATCCCATGAACCAGTTACAGGATGCTATGAATGAAGTCTCAGGTCAGCCCCATCAGTTTCTCTCAAGCTGATCTGGAAGGGCTGTACCCCAGGCCTCTGCCAGGGGCCAAGAGTGGAAGGAAGGAGCTGTGTAGCCAGGCAGAGAGGACAGGCTTCCAGAAACACAGCAGTCACTGCCTGGTAGGAGGGAAAAACAGACTCTGAGGCTGCATCTGCCTGGGAAAACCTTAGCGGGTTTTTCCTCCAAGAACCTCCAAAACCTCAGCAGAGCACCGTCTGGAAAACCTGAACCCTGTCAAGAGATGTTAATGTGCTTCTTTTCATCTTCACAGTTCAATGTTTCTTTTACCAGGCGCTCTCTGTGTCCTGAAATGAGGCCTGGCCTCTGAGCCTTTCCGAAGGGCTTGTGTGGGAGGTTGCCTCCAGAGGGAAAGCTCCCTCCACCCTCACCCTGTCCTCCCCACCCTGTTCCTCAAGCCTCCTAAGACATCCCAGGGGGAGGGACCTACCTCCTGAGACAGAGAAGAGAGGCTGCAGCCTCCGCCTTGCTCTTTGGGGATGTCCTCAGCCCGCCCTGTAGCCCTGGCTCCTGCTGCTCCTCCTCACGCCAAGCTCAGGGCCCTTCGCTGAACTCCCTCTCTCTGTTGACAGTGGCTGGCTGTGTTTTCCTGCTGATCAGCGTCCTCCTCCTGAGTGGGCTCACCTGGCGGCAGAGACAGTAAGTCCGGCATCACCAAGGCAGCACGGGGTCAGATCCAAGTCCTGCGCCCAGCCCCGCCCCGCCCCGTGCTCTCCCTAATCACCTGCAGCAGTTCAGGGAGTGGCAAAGGAAGAAACAGAAAAGAAAAAGTAAACCCTAGAAACTCAGTGTATCTCTTGATTATCCAGGGTCTCCCTGACCCCTGCCAGCATACATTCTGGCCAACCCTCATACAAACTCCACAGTAAGACCCTGAGAAAATATAGACCCATTCCCCCAAAACTGAAGCTCTTGGCCCAGCCAGAGGGAAAAATAAAGGATTGCTTCCCTTCTTAGATGAGTCGTCGGGCCCATGACATACTCCTAATTTTCCTCATGGGAATTTAAATATATAAATTATTGCAATACAAATGATAAGCCCCCTCCCCACAGGGTTACCGTAGCAGGCATGAGTCACATAACTGACAGTCTACCAATTTCTCTAAGGTGTCAGCTGGTTCCTAAGGTGTCATTTTAGGATTACAGGAGAAGCAGGTAACGTGCCTGACATGTTGAAGGTATACTCAGTACTCAAATCCTCTCCTTCCTCACCCTGAACACGTGACAAGCCTTAACACCTAGCAGGATTTTTTTCATTTGCTAGTTTGAAGACCAAACACATTCAGGCCCAGAGGACAAAGCTATTTGGCAGTAGGAATGGATCCGTGTTTATGCTGTGAAACAGAATGGTGTGAACCCATGAGTTCCCCCAAGGACTCCCAGAATTAACAATCTTTGGACAGACTCAAACATACATCTTGACATGACCCTTCTAGTCAGAATTTGTCCAAAATGCTTCCTAGAATCTGATATCAACTCATGGTGCCCTCTTGTGGCAACAGAGCCTAGCCAAAGAGAGTTTTGTTTGGGGAAATATTTCGTTTGTTTTGAGCAATGACCAGGAACCCGTGATGTGCCACAGAAGGCTCACAGTGGCTTGTGAGAGCCAGTGGTTACATTTTCAAGACTTCTGCAAACTGGCTTTTAAGCCTAGCCATTACGTAAAGTTAAAGTATTTAGGGTGGGAGCAGCGGCTCCTGCCTGTAACTCCTGTACATTGAGACACTAAGGTGAGAGGCTCGCTGGAGACCAGCCCGGGCAACAAAGCAGACCTTGTCTCTACAAAAACATTTTATTTTATTGTATTTTTATTTATCTTATTTTGAGACAGAGTTTCACTCTTGTTGCCTAGGCTAGAGTGCAATGGTGTGATCTTGGCTCACCACAACCTCCACTTCCCCAGGTTCAAGCGATTTTCCTGCCTCAGCCTCCTGAGTAGCTGGGATTACAGGCATGCGCCAGCACCCCTGGCTAATTTTTTGTATTTTTAGTAGAGATGGGGTTTCTTCAGGTTGGTCAGGCCGGTCTTGAACTCCCAACCTCAGGTGACCCTCTTGTCTCGGCCTCCCAAAGTACTGGAATTACAGGCCTGAGCCACCACACCAGCCTATAAAAACATTTTAAAATTAGCTAGGCGTGATGGCACATACCTGTAGTGCCAGCTACTGGGAAGGGTGAGGTGGGAGAACCCCTTGAGTCCTGGAGTTCAGGGTTGCAGTGCACCTCAGCCTGGGAGACAGATTGAGATGCTGTCTCAAATAAATAAATAAATAAAGTATTCAAATTTACAGTTCAATAAACTATATTAAATACAAGAGCAAGAATCACTTACAATGAATCGCTTCCTGATTATTTGCTACATTTTACTGCTATCTTTGTTCCCGGGGCAGTTCACATATATTGTGTCTGCATGGTGGAAATACCGTATGGTGGTGGCTACTGTACATCACTTCCCAACCATGTGTTCAGGGATGTCACATTGCCAGCGGCAAGCTGGGTGTGGAGGGAGGATTTACACCAGGAGAGATAGGCAACCATCATCAGAGAGCTGCTTGTTAAACATCACCAGCACACCTCTGCGTGGAGCCTTGTGCTATGGGACCTCTGTGCAAAGTAGGGAGAAATGAGAGATTCCCATGAGCCAACTAAGGACTGGGAAAAGGCTAAGACCGTATTGTTCAATCCAGTAGCCACTAGCCACCTGTGGATACTTGTGTGTTTAAACTTAAATAAATTAAATACAGTTAGGAATTCAGTTTCTCAGTTGCGCTAGCCACATTTCAAGAGTTCCCTAGCCACAGGTGTCTATATTATTGGACAGCACAACTACAAAAGACTTCCATCATCTCAGCAAGTTCCACAGCACAGTGCTGGCTAGAAACCGAGAGCTTTAATGTATGCAAATCATTTAGCACAGTTAGTTGCCGTTTAATATTCCTGTTCCACAGCTATAGTCTGCTACATAGTTTTTAAAAACTTACGCCAGGTGCGGTGGCTCACGCCTGTAATCCCAGCACTTTGGGAGGCTGAGGCAGGCAGACCACGAGGTCAGGAGTTCGAGAACAGCCTGGCCAACATAGTGAAACCCTGTCTGTACTAAAAACACAAAAAGTAGCCAGGCATAGTGGCGCGTGCCTATAATCCCGGCTACTTGGGAGGCTGAGGCAGGAGAATTGCTTGAACCCGGGAGGCAGAGGTTGCAGTGAGCTGACATTGAGCCACCGTACTCCAGCCTGGGCAACAGAGCAAGACACTGTCTGAAAAAACAAACAAAAAACACCTTAAAGAACATTTTCTAAGTGACAGGCACTCTGCCAGGGACTCAAAGATGAATACAACATGGTCCTTCTTTTAGGTGCCTACAGACTAGTGGAAGAGAAGGGAAATATACTCACTTTAAATATAATTTGTGAAACCCTAACGTTGAGATGTTACAGGAACAAAGTGAGAAGCCCCTCCATGGGGGTTTAAAGAAGGCTTTAGATCTGACGGTGCCCAAAATGCCTGGGGCCAGGTAGAGAGTGGCAGATGATGGCTTCTAGGCAGAGGGAGCATGAGGAAGGGTGTGAGGTGTCAAGGGCGGGATGAGGTGTTGGGGAGAAGCCAAGCAGTGCTGAGCAGCTGGGTGCATGGGGCAGCCTGACAATGATGCCCTGCCACAGGGACGGACAGTGACCAAGTCTGGGAACATCAGGCCAGGCTGAGGAGCTGGACTTCATCCCCAGGATTCCTCCTGATGAGGTTCTCTTCATCCAGTAGTGAACCACAGAAGGCTTTACGTGGCTAGAAGGCAGGTGGTAACACTGGCCATCCACGCGGTCTGACTGCAGCACAGAGGCTGGGTTGAAGGGTGGGTGATTGTGGTGGCAGTTTGACTACATGACAATCGGATACATCCACCAAGATCGTACAGTACTTTTTTGTTTTATTTGGAGATGGAGTCTTGCTCTGTTGCCCAGGCTGGAGTACAGTGGCATGATCTTGGCTCACTGAGACCTCCACCTTCTGGGTTCAAGCAATTCCCCTGCCTCAGCCTCCCAAGTAGCTGGGACAGCAGGTACATGCTACTGTGCCCGGCTAATTTTTGTATTTTTAGTAGAGATGGGGTTTCACTAAGTTGGCCAGGTCAGTCTCGAACCTCTGACCTCAAGTAACCCACCTGCCTCGGCCTCCCAAAGTGCTGGGGTTACAAGCATGAGCCACTGTGCCCGGCCTGAATGACTCTTAGTGGTGGAAAATGAATAAATAAATAAAATTGTAAAGTACATCCACAGAGAATGTGAGCTTTATGACTTTCATAGGACACATGCACAAAAAGGCTTTGTGAGCACGATCTAAGGGTGGAGTTTTCTGACTTCAAAAGGTCACCTAGTGGACACTCACACAGGCCCACTTGGAGAGCTGGTGGCCTCAGCCAGCTTGAACTGAACAAGAGCTGACCCCAAGTTCCTAAAAAGGAATGTAAGCAGTCCTTACAATGACAACCTATCCACCAGAGACGGCGTCTACAAGGAAGCCAGCAGAAGTTTAGTTATATATGACTTAGCGACATGACTTTAAAAATCACCTGGAGGCCGGGCGCGGTGGCTCAAGCCTGTAATCCCAGCACTGTGGGAGGCCGAGGCGGGTGGATCACGAGGTCAAGAGATCGAGACCATCCTGGTCAACATGGTGAAACCCCGTCTCTACTAAAAATACAAAAAATTAGCTGGGCATGGTGGCGTGTGCCTGTAATCCCAGCGACTCAGGAGGCTGGGGCAGGAGAATTGTCTGAACCCAGGAGGCGGAGGTTGCGGTGAGCTGAGATCGCACCATTGCACTCCAGCCTGGGTAACAAGAGTGAAACGCCGTCTCAAAATAAATAAATAAAAAATAAAAAATAAAAATAAAAATCACCTGGAATCAAGTGACTAAAAGTAAGCAAGCTAAGTGTGGCAAGCCTACTCAGGTTAGCCCTCAGTTTCACACCTACCACACAATGAATGGAATTCTCATGCTGTGAGAACCACAGAGCAGAGGCTGAACTTGGGCAGCCAGTCGTGGCCTCTGGAGGGATGGAGAGGCCTTGAGGTCAGATTTCAGCGTGTGGGAAGGTGACAGTTCACTGGGGGGGGTTACGAGTTAGGAGGTCAATTGGTCTAAAGTGGAACGCTGTACCCGCACTGGTTTAGGATGGGGACCACATTTTTTTGGTGCTGTATTACACATATGACCATGACTTTGTTACACCACTACAGGAGGAAGAGTAGGAGAACAATCTAGAAAACCAAAAGAACGAGAACTTCTTGGTAAGAAGCCAAGAACAGACAACAGAAGTCATGAGGCACCAAGCAAAATCAGAGGAGCTAAACACTTGCCCAGGAGACATCCCCTGTGCTCACCTGGGTTTTGGAAGCTCTGAAGTCACATCGCAGGACACGGGGCAGTGGCAACCCCGTCTCTACGCCAGCTCAGTCCCATCAGAGAGCGAGCGCTACCCACTTCCAAACAGCAATCCCGTCATTGAAGAAAAGAGCAAAACCACCAGAGCTCTCCATCGTATTTACATGTACATGTGTCATTAAAGCCTGAATGGTATGGAACCCTCTCCACGCTCTATGTAGTATAGAGAAAAGTAGGTTTACATTAATCTCGTCCCAACTCTCCAGTTCAGAAATCCCAAGGAAAGCCCTCGCACTAATGTAAATACACAACACACACACTCTACCCCATACAACTAGACATTGTCCTCATGGCTCCTTTCTCAGCCGCTTCTGACTGCTGATTCTCCTGTTCACATCGCCTAATGAACATCCTTTAAGAATTGTGGGCTGCAACCCAGAAATTTTACCCTTGGCTCAATTCTCTAAGCTGACCCCCTTCTACTGAACCTTCAGTCTTGAATTTCTAAAGAACAGAGGCCATGGCAGAATAATCTTTGTAACTTCAAAATGAGGCAGCCAAGCCCATGAGGCAATGTCAGGAACAGAAGGATGAATGAGGTCCCAGGCAGAGAATCACACTTATCAAAGTTTTACTTGTGCATGACTAAGAGGCCTCTTTAAGAGTTAGTTTCTCGGGGATTGCTATGAATAATACTCTGAATTTGGCCTGCACTAATCTGATGTTTACAGGTGAACACAAAAACATCAGTGTGTACATTTTCTAATAAGTGTCTAAGAACACTGAAAAGGGATCAGTACATTTACTGTTTATGGAAGGAAGGAAAGAAAGTAGGAAGTGAAGAGGGAGAAAGGAAGGAGGTCATACTGGTAGAATGCAACCATGGAAAAGGGCACATCAGGCCAGGCATGGTGGCTCAGGCCTGTAATCCCAGCTCCCTAGGAGACCAAGGTGGGAGGATCTCTTGAGGCCAGGAGTTTGAGACCAGCCTGGGCAGCATAGCAAGACCTCATCCCTACAAAAAATTAAAAATTGGCTGGGTGTGGTGGCATGCACCTGTAGTTCCAGCCACTCAGGAGGCTGAGGCAGGAGGATTGCTTGAGCCCAGGAGTTCGAGGCTGCAGTCAGCCATGATGGCACCACTGTACTCCGGCATGTGCAACAGAGCAAGGCCCTATCTTTAAGGAAGAAAAAGAAAAGAAGGGCATGTCAGCTGTCCTCGGACATTACCAAAAAGTTCAGCGTATCAGAATCACCTGCAGGCCTTGTTAAAACAGTTTGCTGGACCAATCTCCAGAGTTTCTGAGTCATCAGTCTGGGAGACAGCCAAAGGGTTTGCATTTCTAACAATTCCCAGGTGCTGCTGCTGCTGCTGCTATTCAGGGAACACACTTTGAGAACCGTTGTGTTATCCCTCTGCACACCCACCCAGTTTCAACTCCCACGAAAAACTCACCTTCAGGAGCTGAGATTCCAGTGTGCGCCCTGGTTCCATGTCTGGTGTTACAGCTCCCTCACAAATGCGCTGAGTCGACATTCTAGCTCAGCAACATCACACGGTTAGGGACATGGACGGAAATTATTCATTCATGAAACTATCAGCCAGTTTTCATTTCTGAAGGGGCAGGAGAGTGTTAGGAAAAATAACGGGTGGTTTTCAGCAGGGTCCAGATTCAGATTAAACAGCTATTTCTGTTTTTTTGATGACCAACCACATACAGACTCACCTATGCACCCTCCCCCTCCCACTTCAGGTGTATGTTTTCTAAGTTGAAAAGAATCTCAGACCAAAAAAAAAATATATATATATATATGTAAATCTTACTTGAGTAGAATTGAATTACTCCTTTTGGGTGTTGAGGGGTCTATATGATCAAAACTTTTCCATGATAATACTAAGATGTTATTGGCCATTTCACTCTCCTTCTCTCAAAAAGGTATGGTGGAATTTTCCAGAAGCTATGTGGTATGTGGTGGTGATGTCATCACTCTGCTGTTAACATATAATCAATTTATTGCTATTGTTTATAAATGAATAAATGATATTTTTTAAAAAGTCTTGGTTTTTGTTACAAATATGATAAGTATTGCAAGCTATAACATACGTAACCAAAAGCTCTTTATAGTTTTTGATTTTTTTTTTTTTTTTTGAGATGAAGTGTCACTCTGTTGCCCAGGCTGAAGTGCCGTGGCATGATCTCGGCTCACTGCAATCTCTGCCTGTTGGGTTCAAGCAATTCTCCTGCCTCAGCCTCCCAAGTACCTGGACTGCAGGCACCCACCACCACAGCCAGCTAATTTTTGTATTTTTAGTAGAGATGGGGTTTGACCATGTTTGTCATGCTGGTCTGGAACTTCTGACCTCAAGTGATCCACCCACCATGGCCTCCCAAAGTGCTGGGATTACAGGCATGAGCCACAGCACCCAGTATGGGATCCTCTATAGTTTTAATAGTTTTAAATAACATGCAAAGTTCCTGTCAAATGGCCAACAAGCACATCAACATCACTGGTCATTTCAGAAACACAAATCAAAACCACAATGAGAGACACTTCATACCCACTGAGATGACTAAGAGAAAGAACAGGAATGCTCACAGATGGCCGGTAGGATGTCAAACGGTGCAGCCACCTGGCAAAGCAGAGATGGCCATTTCCTCAGGAAGCTAAAGATGGATGTCCTATGACTCAGCAATTCTATTCCTAGGTACACATCCAAGAAAGACAAAAACATATGTCTAAACACAAACTTGTACACAACTGTTTATAACAGCATTGTTCATACTCTCCAAGAGGTAGAAACACCCACATACCCAACAACAAATGAATGCATAAAGGCTGGGCGTGGTGGCTCACGCCTATAACCCCAGCCCTTTGGGAGGCCAAGGTAGGCAGATCACTTGAGGCCAGGAGTTGGAGACCAGCCTGACCAACACGGTGAGACCCCAGCTCTACTGTCTCTACTACAAATACAAAAAATTAACTGGGCATGGTGGTGGGCATCTGTAATTCCAGCTACCTGGGAGGCTGAGACATGAGAATCCCTTGAACCTGGAAGGCAGAGGTTGCAGGGAGCCAAGATGGTGCCACGCACTCCAGCTTGGGCAACAGAGGGACTCTTCTCTCCAAAAAAAAGAATGGATAACCAAATCATGGCAGAGCCCTACAGTGAAGTATTAGCCACAGGAAGGGATGAACTATTGATCCATGATGCCATTTCGATGAGGGTCAAAAACATTATGCTGAGAGAAGGAAGCCCCACACAAAAGGTCACTATTGTATGACTTTTTCTTTTTTTAAGACAGGGTTTCACCATGTTGACCAGGATGGTCTCAATCTTCTGACTTCGTGATCTGCCGCCTCAGCCTCCCAAAGTGCTGGGATTATAGGCGTGAGCCACCGTGCCCGGCGTATGACTCTTTTTATATGAAATATCTAGAATAGGCAAGTCCCTAGAGACAGAAAGCAGATATAGTGTTTGCCAGGGGATTTTTCTGGGGTGGCGAAAAAGTTTGGAAACTAGAGAAAGGAGATAATGGCTCAACATGTTGAACACACTAACAGCCGCTGGATTGTACGCTTTATGACAGTTCATTGTGTGTTATGTGAATTTCACCTCAACTTTTTAAAAAGGAGATCCTGAGACCAACAGATTTGAATATTGCTTATCTTACGATTCTCAAAGAAGGGTCCTCAGCCCAGAAGGATCATCCTGAAGTCTTTATGGTGACTTTAGCATTTTATGAAGTAAGTTTTCAGGAGACCCTGAATTTTTGTTTTCAAAAACCAAAAGTAGCAATGCTACTAAAGTTTATGGAAGACTCTAATTCGGCATTCTGTCAAGAACGTAAAATTTGCATAGCTCCCAGGAAGCCTGCTGTTCCTGATGCAACAGCAGACCCATCGTGATACTCACTGGTATTCCTTCAGCTAATTATGGATTCCTGCCAGTGATTTTCACGGAGGGGTTGCGTTGGCAGGCTCCCAATGTGCATCCTCATAATCAATTAATTTGCTGTGGGTTGAAAACCTAAACAAACTGAAAGTCAATAACTCTTCTTAGATCTGTAGAAGTAAGATCACAGGGTAGCTCACTGTCCCCAATATTGGAAAGGCAGACAGGCTGATACAGGGAAATCACAATTTCCTGGAGCAGAAGCAAATGTCTTCTCCAGTCTTGTTGACTCAAAGTAGGTCTCCTGTCTACGCCTGCACTGCCACCAGAAGATATGAGATGATTCTGATTTCATAAGGCCCAAGCCACAGACCCCACTCCTAGAATCAGTAATAAAGAGAAGATCTTAAAAGCAGCCAGAGAGACGTGAACCATTGCAGAGAAACATAAATAAGGATGACAGGTTCAAGCAATTCTCCTGCCTCAGCCTCCCATATAGCCGGGATTACAAGCATGCACCACCATACCCAGCTAAGTTTTGTATCTTTAGTAGAGATGGAGTTTCACCATGTTGGTCAGGCTGGTCTTGAAGTCCTGACCTCAAGTGATCTTCTCGCCTCAGCTTCCCAAAGCGCTTGGATTACAGGGGTGAGCCACCATGCCCGGCAATAACCACTTCAAATGTAAATTGTCTACACATCCCAATTAAAAGACAAAGATCATAAGATTGGATTTTAAAACCAAGAATAAATATATCCATACTATAAGAAATTAAAAAATTAAAAGTTCACATGTACCCCAAAGACTAAAACGCAATAATAAAAAAAAGAAAGAAAAAAAATTAAAGTAAAAAGATTGAAAACACTTAGCACAAGAAAGCTGGAGTGCTGCTATTTAATATCAGATTAACACATTTGAGAGTAACCAATATAGCCAAGGACAAAGAAGGTCATTTCATAGTGCTAAAAGGATCAGTTCTTCAGGAGGCCATAGCAACCCTAATGCTAGGATTGTTAGGACTGCTGTGCACTTAACACCAGAGCTTCAAAATACATGAAGTGAAAACTAACTGAACTGCAAAAGTGGATAGTCAAATCTGGGACCATCGTGGAAGATTTCAAAAAGCTTCTCTCACTCTCAGACACAGGTAGAACAAGTAGATAGAAAACCTGATAAAATATAGAGGACTTAAATAACATTATCAACCAATTTGACTTAATTGAAATTTATAGACCATTTACCCAAAAAAGACTGAACACACATTCCTGTAAAATGCATGAGGAACATTTAACACCATAGGCTGTTTACTAGCACATTTTTTAAAAGTCTCCACCTTACACTCTTTAAGATGGCTGTTATCAAAAAGAAAACAGAAAATAACAAGTGTTGGTAAAGATATGAGGCAATTGGAACTCTGCACTGCTGGTGGGATTGTAAATGGAGCAGCCGCTGTGGAAAACAGCATGGCAGATGCTCAGAAAAAAAAAAAAAAAAGAATTGCCATATGATCCAGCAATTCCATGTCTGGGCATACACCCAAAAGTATTGGAAACAGGGTCTCAAAGAGTTTATAGCCAAGTTATTCTCAATGGCCCAAAGGTGGAAGCAACCCAAGTGTCCATCAGCAGATGAAAGAATAAACAAAGCATGGTACGTATGCATCATGGAATATTATTGAGCCTTACAAAGGAAGGAAATGTTGACACAGGCTATGGCACAGATGAAGCTAGAGGACATTAGACTCTGTGAAATAAGCCAGACGCCACAGGACAAACACTGTATGTTTGCACTTATCTGAGTTCCTTCCTCAGAGTAGTCAGATTCACTGAGACAGAAAGTAGAACGGTCATTGCCACGAGCTGGGGGAAGGAGAGGAGGAGTTGTCATTTAATGGCAACGGAGTTTCAGTTTTGCAAGACTAAAAAGTTCTGGAGAAGGATAGTAGTGATGGTTGCATAGCAATGTGATCGTACTGAATGCTGCAGAATTGTGCACCTGAAAATGGTGACGATGGTGAATTGTACATTGTCTGCTTTTTACTACATTTTTAAATATATATATACACTGTTTGACTCCATTTATACGAATTCATAGAAAATCCCAACTACCCTGCAGTGACAGAAAGCAGATCAAAGACTGCCAGTGGAAGATTACAAATGAGCATTATCTCGATTGTGGTTTTATGGGTGTGTACTTACACCAAAACTTACCAAACTGTGTACTTCGAATATGTACAGCTTGTTATATGTTCACTAAACCCCCAATAAAACTTTCATTAAAAATTACCTGTTTGGAATTCCTAGCCAGGTTCTGTTTTTTGGACTGACTCCTGAGTGAATCTCTCCTGGCCTCACCAGCCTGCAGTTCAGATGAAACTGTGCTCTTGGTGATAACCCCGTGTGCACACACAGTCTCTTTCAGAGCCTGCAGACTCAGATAAGACCGTGTTCTTGGTAATAACCTGTAAATAACCCGTACACACACACACACACACACACACACACACACACACACTCTCTCTCTCTCTCTCTCTCTCTCTCTCTCTCTCTCCTTCAGAACCTGCAGGTTCAGATGAGACCACACTCCTGGTAATAATCGCCACCCCACCCCACACATGCACAGTCTCCTTCAGTCTACAGGTTCAAATGAGACCATGTTCTTGGTAATAACCTCTCTCTCTCTCTCTTTCTCTCTCTCTCTCTCTCTCTCTCTATCTATCTCTCTATCCTTCAAAGCCTGCAGGTTCAGATGAGACTGCACTCTTGGTGATAGCCCATATGCGTGCATGCGCACGCACACACACACACACATACACACACACATACACACACACACACTGTCTCCTTCAGATATGTTTAGGAGTCCTCAGTGTCTGACCAGACAGCCTTCCTGGGCTCCACCTATGGGAGGGGAACACCCTCCTCCTTCCCACTATATGTCGTGTTTTATTACCTGGGCACTAAGACAAGTGACTGTGTCCTAGAGTCTCGCAGAATCCTTCATGAATCCTGCATCCCCGGCTTCTGCCCGCAGCTTTTCTTTCCATAAGTTTTTGACACAGACCCATGGAAGAATTTCTGAGACAGGTATCAGGATGTCCTCTGTGTTACTCCCTATTCTTCTCCCCCAGCCTCACTCCTCCAAAAATGCAACTAGAGTCACAGGTCCTGCCCCATAGGTTTCCCAGAGGTGCCCAGATCAATCTGAATTCTAGGGGCGAACACAGGTGATCAGAAACCACCAACCACGTGCCTCAAGATGAGGATGTAACACCATCTGTTAGGACCTCTGGACTCTAGGTTCTTTATGTGTTCATTTTACAAATATTTAACACTACTCCTTAAGGAAAACCTAGAAACAAGGGGCTCGATTGCTGTTGGGACAAAATGACGTGTAAAGTGTTACAGTGTGGCAGATTTCCCACGTTAAGGCTCCAGACTGCTAGCTCTGTTCTCATGCAACACCTACTCGTGGACTTGTGAGAACAAAGTCACCAGGTGCTGCTCTGCTGGGTGCCAGGAACACTCCACCAGGCACAAAACCGAAAAGGTGGGAGAATGTGGGACAGGCAGGAGAACTGGTTTCCTGCCCACCTGCGCCACTCTCTGCCCTCACTGTGAAGGAAGAGAAAAAGAAAAGAGGGGTGGTGAAGTCCATGCCCCAAGTCTGTGCTTCTTGATGCTTTGCAATTTGTGGAGGAAAGACAGGCTCTAATACCCAGAATACATTAAATTGTGATTCCCAAAAACCTAGGGCAGTCAGGCTGCATTTTGGAAGCGGCAGCCAGGAGTGCAAGTCCCGCCCACGGGAAGGAGGAAAAGTGGGAGAAAGCTCGAGCTAGCCCTCGGAGTTTCCCTCGGGCAAACGTGGCCTGAACGAGATCCAGCCTCAGCGACAGAGCAAGACTCTGTCTCAGGAAAAAAAAATTAATTAATTTTAAAAAAGCAGCTGAAAACATTATAGAAGTATGGTAGATGATTAATTTTTTAACATATTTTTCTAAATTCTGTAATACTTGTGTTATTTGCAAACTTTTCAAAACATGCAATTTGTTGTGCTTTATTTTATCCTTATTTTACTTTTATACCTATAAAAAGAGAGAAAGGCTATGGCCCAATCTGCTTTCAGTGGCCATTTGGACCCCAAACTGCTTTCTGTCCACTCTTTACCTCATTTTATTTTTAATTTGTATCTTTTGTCATTTGAGAAAATAGTCCGGGATGGGCAAGTGGCACTGGTGTTCACTAAAAAATAAATAAAAAGTCTGGCTACAGGGTTGTGCATTTTAATGCTCGATTCAAAATAAATATTGGTATCCTCAATTTTCTCTATTAATTTTGTTTCAATTTCATTGACTTCTGCTATTTTTTTCTTCGTTTTGTTTACTTTCAGCTTTATTTGCTTTTCTTTTTATACTTTCTTTAGGTAAAAGCTGAGATCATTGAATTGAGATTTTTCTGTTTCTCTAATACAGGCATTTTAATACTATAAATTTCCCTCTAAGCACTGCTTTAGCTGCATCCCTCAAATTAAGAAATGCATTTTCATCCCATTCAGTTAAAAAAAAATTCTACCTTGTGATTTCTTCCTTGACCTGTGGATTATTCAAAAATATTTTGTTGAATTTCCAAATATTTGAGAATTTTCTAGCTACCATTCTATTAATGATTTTCATTTTAATTATGTCATGTTGATAATATATTTTATATGATATAAATCCTTTTATGTTTATTGAGGCCCAGAATAGAATCTATTTTCAATGATTGAGAAAGGGCTCTCTCTTGGTGAATGTTCCATGTGTATTTGTAAAAAATGTGTATTCTATCTGCTGTTGTTGGATGAAATGTCTTGATAGTGTTTTCAATCTTCTATATTCTTACTGATTTTTTTCATCACTTGTTCTATGAATTACTGAGAGAGGAGAGTTGGACCATACTTCAACCATAATTATAGATTTTTTAAAATGTCTCCTTTTAGTTCCACCAGTTTTTGCTTAATGTGTTTTGAAGTTCTATTGTTAAGTACATTCACATATAAGACTGTAATGTCTTCCTGATTCATTTACCCTGTTAGTATGTGATGTCCTTCTTTATCTCTGGTAATATTTTTTATCCTGAAGTCCACTTTGTCTGATATTAATATAGCTATTTTGGGTTTCTTTTTATTAGTGTTAGCATGGTACTTTTTTTCATTGTTTTACTTTTAACCTGTCTGTGTCTTTATATTTATAATGGGTTTGTCGTAGCAAGAATATAGTTGGGTCCTGCTTTTTAAAATCCAATCTGATAATTTATCTAATTTCTGGAGCTGTTTAAACGATGTATATTTAATTTAATTATTGATATGACCACATTGAAATCTATTATCATGCTGTGGGTTGGCCCATCTATTCCTTGTTCCTTTTCTTCTTATGCCCTTCCCTGTTTTGATTAACTGAGGTTTTTGTTTTGTTTGTTTTGTTTTGACACAGAGTCTTGTTCTGTCACCCAGGCTGGAGTGCAGCGGTGTTACCGTAGCTCTCTGCAACCTCCGCCTCCCGGGTTCAAGCAATTCTCCTGCCTCAACCTCTGGAGTAGCTGGGATTACAGGTGTGCACCATCACCCCTGGCTAATTTTTGGATTTTTAGTAGAGATGGGGTTCACCATGTTAGCTAGGCTACTCTCGAACTCCTGACCAAGTGATCCACCCGCCTCATCCTCCCAAAGTGCTTGAATTACAGGCATGAGTCACCACACCAGCTGATTTTTCTCCTCTCTTTTTACTCCTTAAGTTTCAGTGTGGATAATTTCCACTGATCTCTCTTCATGTTCACCAATTCTTTCTTCTGCTATATTCATTTTATGAATAAGCCTGTTGAAGGAATCCTTTAAAGCTGAGACCATGATTGTATTAGTATGCTAAGATAAACTCTATTTCCAAATACAGTGACATTGAGGACTAGCCTTCAATATGTAAATTTTGGGTTACACTAGTCAGTCTATAACAATCATTTTCATTGCTCATGTTTCATTTAACTCTTTTTTTTAGAGTTTCCATCTCTCTGATCAAATTCTCTGTCATGGGTTGTCTACCTTTTCGCTAGACTCTTTAACACATTAATCAGTTAAAACCTCTGCTAGTTTGAGCATCTGCACCATCTCTCTGTCTGGTTCTGTTGACTGTTGTTTTGTTTGATCTTGCTTTTTGGGATCTCTTATAATTTGGATTAAATGCTGAACTTTGTGTGTAAAAGCATAGCAGAGACTGAGGTAAATAATACACTTAGAAATAGCATGTATCTTCTTCTGTCGGTTGATTGGTGTGGGAGCTGATTCAATTTAGGATCTACCCAAGGCTGGATTGATGGGCACATGTGACCTGGGCTATAACATAGGGTTTCATTGCTTAGCAGGGCCCTGAACTTGGTTTGATGCTCTGCTGTTACCATGCTGAAATTCTTAGGAGTTTTGAACAAGAGACCTCATATTTTCATTCTGCACTGGGCCTTGCAAATTATGTAGCTCATAAGTATGAGTTTTTACCTGCTTCAGAAAACCTGGAGATAAGCACTCTACAGAAATGATGAACAAGTCAGGACTTTATGTATCAGCGTCACTAAGTTACGGAGTACAGATGGTTAAGCAAATATACCCAGCCAATAAGATAGTGTTTTTCAAAAGCCACTGAGATCTCCTCTGGAAATGGAAGGTTAAAGACTACTAATAGAACCAGCCATTGCCTCAAAGACCTAAATCATAAAAATTTATCAATTAGGCCAGATAGATAACATGACTAGCCAGGATTTCTCTTTAAAATTGGACTCACCAGGTTAAATGAAGAAATGACCAATATGAATATGCTTTTAATGATAGAATTCTTAGAATAATCTTGTATACTTGTAACTTTATGAATGTTCTTTCTATTATGTTATAAATTTGATTAAGTTTCTTATAATAATAAGCTTCTTTCTCTTTAAAAATATAACATCACTATATGTTCTATATCAATGTAACATAATGAAATTTATTTTAAATCACAAAAATGTAATGAGGATGTGGGGATAGGCTTACTAGTATGTTAAAATTGATGAAAATAAATAATATACTATATGTTTTTCCTTCCATCAGGAAAACAAAAACACTATAGCTAATACAAAAGAAATCTACAAGGGAAAAAACCCCAAGCCTATTGGAAATGTAGTTTCTCCTTTTAGACTTATTGTCAGGAGAAAAGTTAGTTGTCAGGGCCTGGCGTGGTGGCTCATGCCTGTAATCCCAGCAAGTTGGGAGGCCAAAATGAGGAGAATCCCATGAGCCTAGGAGTTCAAGACCAGCCTGGGAAACATAGGGAGACTTGGTCTCTTAAAAAAAAAAAAATTAGTTGTTAGAGAAAAACCAAAAATAGTGATGAACAACATAGATGTTCTCCTTCACATTCAGTGAATTCTAAGAAAAACAGCCCAGGCTGGTTTGGTCCTCCTGGTGTCAGAGACTCACCTTCTTTCCATCTTGTTCCTACTCTATGGATGGCTTGTGGCTTCCATTTTCAAGAGTCCTCATGGACCAGTGTTACTGCTGGAGCTCCAGTCATTATGTCTGCATTCCAACCAGAAAGAAGGAGGAAGGGTTTAGAATGGCACATTTTCTCCTTTCAAGGACATTTCAATTAAGTCACAAGATATAAAGCACATCTTTTGTTTTTATATTTATTTTGCATCTGTAAACAGAATTTGTGTAGTGCTTTTGGGAGAGTATGTAGAGAGAGTTTCTGAAGTAGATGAAACATCTTTAGGTCTAACAGTCTTCCCTAGCCGAGCCACCCTCGTCTACCAGGATCCAAATTCTAAATCTGTTATTGGAGCCAGCTGCGGGGGCTCATGCCTGTAATCCCAACACTTTTTGGGAGGCTGAGATAGGAGGATCTCTTGAGCCCGGGAGTTTGAGACCAATCTAGGTAACATAGCAAGACCCTGTCTCTTAAAAAAAGTTATTTTAATTAAACTAAATTAAAAAGATAAACTCCATTATTGGTTTTGTATTTTGGAAACAGTTTCATTTTAGGAGACTGTTTATTTTATTTATTTAAAACAGCTGTCTTGGGTGGTTTTTTAAAAAAAAACACTTTATAACAGCTAAAGATATAATTTGGGGAAAAAAGATAAATGACTCTAACTTCAGAGAAATAAATAAAATAGTTTTAGATTCATTAAAAAATAGTTTTAGATTCATTAATAGCTTATGTTTCAACTTAAAAGCCTATAAATTCTTACATTTAAAAAATTATAACATCTATAAAATGTTATACCTTATAGACATTTATTCTTAGCATTTTAGGTCAAGGACTCTTGAAATAACTAATAAATAATTATTTGTCAATTTAAAAAAATAGGCTGGGCATGGTGGTTCACGACTGAAATCCCAGTACTTTGGGAGGCCGAGGCAGGTGGATCACTCGAGGTCAGGAGTTTGAGACCAGCCTGCCAACATGGTGAAACCTTGTCTCTCTTCTCCTAAAAATACAAAAACTAGCCGGATGTGTTGGCGTGCTCCTGTAGTCCCAGCTACGCAGAGGCTGAGGCAGGAAAGTCATTTGAACCCAGGAGGCAGACGCGGAGGTTGCAGTGAGCCGAGATTGTGCCACTGCACTCCAGCCTGAGTGACAGAGTGAAAAATAAATAAATAAGAAAATAAGGCCGGGCGCGGTGGCTCAAGCCTGTAATCCCAGCACTTTGGGAGGCCGAGGCGGGTGGATCACGAGGTCAAGAGATCGAGACCATCCTGGTCAACATGGTGAAACCCCGTCTCTACTAAAAATACAAAAAATTAGCTGGGCATGGTGGCGCGTGCCTGTAATCCCAGCTACTCAGGAGGCTGAGGCAGGAGAATTGCCTGAACCCAGGAGACTGAGGTTGCGGTGAGCCGAGATCGCGCCATTGCACTCCAGCCTGGGTAACAAGAGCGAGACTCCGTCTCAAAAAATAATAATAATAATAAAATAAAATAAAATGAAATTCATGAACCAAATTCATTTCAAGTAAATTAAATATTTCTGATTTGCTAACACGGTAGGGGAATAGAAACACTTCTAATAGTTGCCTGGGCTAAAAGAAGATTGCTGTGGACTAGATGTGGCAAAGGCTATGGCTGGACTTTGATTTGCATGAGATTTTGATTTTTTTCTTTTTCTTTCTTTTTCCTTGTTTTTTTTTTGAGGCAGAGTCTATCACCCTGGCAGTGCAGTGGTGCGATCTCCTGGCTCACTGCAACCTCCACCTCTCCTCGCTCAGCCTCCTGACTAGCTAGAATTACAGGCATGCATGCACCACCACACCTGGCTAATTTTTATATTTTTAGTAGAGATGGGGTTTCACCCTGTTGGGCAGGCTAGTATTGGATTCCTGACCTCAAGTGATCCACCCACCTCAGTTTCCCAAACTGCTGGGATTACAGGCATGAACCACTGTGCCTGGCCGGATTTTATATTCTTTTCTAAAACCATAATCATTATTTATAAACTGGGAGATCTTACACAAGGACCTATAATTTCAAAGTCTCTTCAAAAACTAAAAATATGCTGGTCCAGTGCCTCATGTCTGTAATCCCAACACTTTGGGAGTCCGAGACGGGAGGATTGCTTGAGCCCAGGGGTTTGACACCAGCCTGGGCAACATGGCAAAATCTCATCTCTGCAAAAACACAAAAATTAGCCTGGCAAGGTGGCATGCTCCTGCAGTCCCAGCTACTTGGAAGGCTGAGTCAGGAGGGTCATGTGAACCCAGGAGGTCGAGGCTGCAAAGAGCTGTGATCACGCAACTGTACTGCAGGCTGTGCGCCAGAGCAAGACCCTGACCCAAAACCAAACAAAACCAGCTAAAAACATTAGCCTAGCAGACACGCATTGCTCTCCTGGACTCTACCACAGCTGGTAGCCTACTCGCTCTCATCTGGTGCCCCCCCACCCTGTGGCCCGTGCCCTGTAGGCATTGGGGTTTGTGATTCCCAGATACATCTTGGGTTTACATTTTTTAAATCTCGAGGTTCTGTCACTTTCTCCTTTCATTTTCTCCTGAGATCATTAAGAGATGAACCAAAAAACAAAGGCGAAGGCGGAAAGCTCTTCAAAGATTTCCCTTCTCCCAGGTGTGTACAGGAGATAAGGAAGGGAGAGAAGGAAGAGAAAGGGCAGCCAGGCTTCGGTGAGGCGAGGGAAGAGGCCGCGCTGTGTGCTTAGGAGGGTGCAGCAAGCAGGAGAGGACCTGAGGCCACTTCCTCATGGGGCACTCCGCTTTCTCGTTTGACCATCTTAGTTGGGCATCGTCTTGCTGTAAGAAGGGACAGCTAGAGACCCGGAACATTGCTCCCAGCTGTTGGGACTTCCACACAGGGTGGGGTTTCTGTCCTCACCCTCCGCTTTCTCATTTGACCATCTTAGTTGGGCGTCGTCTTGCTGTAAGAAGGGACAGCTAGAGACCCGGAACATTGCTCCCAGCTGTTGGGACTTCCACACAGGGTGGGGTTTCTGTCCTCACCGTCTGGTCATGGGACCTCCCCACCTGCCTTCTCCCTCCTCTGCCATTCTGCCTGGATGGATGGCCCTCGCTTAGTATCACAGATAGTATTTCTGCAGACACTCTCTGACCCCTAAGTTGTACTTAACATTTTTAGCTAACAGCTTTCTCTATAATCACCTTGGACAGTTTACAAAAGGCAACATATTATAGAGGATCTGTTATATATTTCATATCTAACATGTATTGAAAGCTTACTGTATGTTAAGCACTGTTCAAAATGTACTGTTGACCCACTTAATCTTCTCAAACGACCTATGGTGCAGATTCTATTATTTCCATTTTACAGATGAGGAAAGGAAGGCACAGAGAGGTTAATAATTTGCCCAAAGGAACCCGTCTGGAGATAGATATATGAATAGATATATAGATACAGATGCACACACACAGACATAAAGCATACGTAAATATGAAAACCAGGCTGGACACAGTGGCTCACACCTATAATCCCAGCACTGTGAGAGGCAGAAGGATCCCTTGAAGCCAGAAGTTTGAGACCAGCCTGGGCAACATAGTAAGACCTTGTCTCTACAGAAAAAAAAACTTAATTAGCTGGGTATAGTGAACAGGTGTCAGTAGTCCTAGCTACTCAGGAGGCTGCGGCAGGAGGATTGCTTGAGCCCAGGAAGTGAAGGCTGAAGTGAACTATAATTGTTCCACTGCACTCCAGCCTAGATGACAGAGCAAGATTATTATTCTTAAAACTTACGAAAACCTATCTCATAATTCTCAGTCACAATATGTGATGCTCAAAAGCAGATATTCACAGGGCTCCTGCATAAGAGATGCAAGGTATTACAGAAATAAGGAAGCAAAAAAAGAAAGAAAGAAGTAGAAAAAAAGAGGAGCTTCTCACAGTGAATGGCGAATGTAATTCAGATGTTCTTGAAGACTCAGAAGAGGCTTGAAACTGCAAAGCCGCTGTTTCATCCACGTGACTTTTGATCATCATTGTCTTCTACATGTGCCCAAGTGCCTGGAACAGACAATTACGGCCAATAAAACACAAAACTGGAGAGAATGTGCTTTCAATTAAAAAGTACAATTGCAAAACAGCTTTGAGTTCAAAACCAGGCTGGGCACAGTGGCTCACGCCTATAACGCCAACACTTTGGGAGGCCGAGGATGGCAGATCACCTGAGGTCAGGAGTTCGAGGCCAGCATGGCCAACATGGAGAAACCCCTTCTTTACTAAAAGTACAAAAATTAGCCAGGCATGGTGGTACATGCCTGCAGTTCCAGCTACTCAGGAGGCTGGGGCACAAGAATGGCTTGAACCCGGGAAGCAGAGGTCGCAGTGAGCTGAGATCACGCCGCTGGACTCCAACCTAGGCAAGAGAGCGAGACTTCATCTCAAAAAAAAACAAAAACAAAAACAAACAAAAAAACAATGAAACTTTTAATAGTGTTAAAACCACTCTACTCTGACATGGTCAAATATTTAAAGTTCAAGAATCCATTTCACAACTTGATTTTTCCAGCTGCTAAGTGATTATATTACGCTTAGGAGGCTTCAAATTCATATAATTGGGTGAATTATCAAGAAATGAATTGGTCTCTTGGGAATTTTTCCTTTCAAAGATTCATCACAAGTAAAAAGTAAGTGAAGGGTGATTTTCCCCAAGAACAGGCCAGCTTTGTGTTCTAGAATTTGGGGTTCTCTCACCCCAGAGATGCAGTTCACTGACTGCTTCCGTGTTTGAGGTTGATTTGTTTATCTGACTGCAGGGCGCCAGGGGGACTGACAAAACAGGCATTTTTTTTTAAGGAAGAACAAGGCTAATTAAAACAATCTGGCTAGATTGTCGAAGAGGATAAGTGGACATGCAAAAGTGTCTGGAGAAGGATGAGCTAACTAGAAGGGAGTGAGGTGGGTTTGCTGAGGACAGAGGGCAGGGTGAGTCTGGGCCATGACTGTCTTAGCGGTGTCCAAGGCCACCCAGGCCCAGGCCACCCCCCTCTATTTTTCCTGGGTTTTGCTACAACCCCAGAGAAGGGGAGAGAATTATTTGCCATACCAGGGAGTAGAGGAAAAAACAATATTAAATATTTGTTGATCTTGGCAAGTGGAAGCTCAGAGCCACATCTGACATAATTTACAAAAATAATGCAATGTGATGTGTTTTCTACTTGAGTATTGAAAGGCAATTCCTTCTTTTATACCCAATATTTTTTTTCTGCTCTTAAGCAAGACCCTTTCTGTGAGTCGACTCATTTCCCCTCCTTCAGTCTCACTGCCTTGTGGTCTCCAGGTTGGCTGCAGCAATTGGATTCCCTGTGGGGACCCTACAGACTCTAACTGGCCCTTGTTCCTAAGTCAATCAAAAACCAAGTACACTATCACTGGGTGACCATTAGAAATGCATCACCTTGGCCCAGTGCAGTGGCACACACCTGTAATCCCTGCACTTTGGGAGGCCAAGGTGGGAAGATCTCTTGAATCCACGAGTTTGAGACCAGCCTGGGCAACATGGAGAATCCCCATCTCTACAAAAACTACAAAAGTCATCCTGGCGGTGTGTCCCTGTAGTCCAGCTACTTGAGAGGCTGAGGTGGGAGGATTTGAGCCCAGGAGGTCTAGGCTGTAATGAGCTGTGATGGCTCCACTGTGCTCCAGCCTGGGCAACAGTGAGACTCTGTCTCAAAAAACAAAAATAAAATAAAATCAAGTAACATGCTGAATTGTATGTCATATGAATATATCTCTCTTTAAAAATTTAAGATTCTAACACACACACAAAAGAATCCCTTAACCTGAGCCACAGCTCTCCTCTTCCTGATCTCTCAGCCCGCCATCCTCCCCTCTGCCTGGCTCATCCGCCATCCTCCCCTCTGCCTGGCTCTGTCTGCCATCCTCCCCTCTGCTAAAAATACAAAAACATTAGCTGGGCATGGTGGCACATGCCTGTGATCCCAGCTATTCGGGAGGCTGAGGCAGGGAGGTGGAGGTTGCAGTGGGCTGAGATTGTCCCATTGCACTCCAGCCTGGGCAATAAGAGTGAAACTCTGTCTCAAAAAAAAAAAAGAAGCAGCAGTCTCTGGTAATTCACGCCTTATGTTAGGATAATAATGAACTGATAGAAGACCACGCCTTGAAAGGGCGGCCCTTGCCTGTCACGGCAGTTTGGGCTCATGTTTGCCTACTGTATTAGCACAACCCAGCACAGCTCTGTCCTTGGCTTCCTTAATTCCCATTGGGACTGTCTGATCCGCAGTGGCCAGTGTCTGTCTGGGACAATAGCACCAAAACAGTGATGTTTCCTGGGCATTACAGACTTGTTCTGGTGTCAGGCTTTCATCAGCGATGACGTTGGCAAACTCGCCAATGAATTACTCTGCTGCTTTGTGATTAGCAGATGCTTTATCCATACAAATCTTTAAAAATTTGATGCCATATATTTTCTTAAATTCTGCAACCAACCTTGAATAGTCACAATTCCCTTCCATTTTCAGTTCATCATAATAGATCGTTCTTGTTTCATGCTCAGCATCAAGTGGCATGTGTCCACTGTGATATTGATGGGTCACTTTTCCAGTGCGCAGTTGAGATCTTCCTTTTTAGCTTTATGCAGTGTTTTTCTATTTTTTGTCAACTCCTATGAGTCACCTGCAGCACTGAACTTCCACAGTCTATCCCTCTGTTTCTTCAGGTCCTGTATGGTGGTCGTTCCAACACTGTACTTTTCTGTAAGACATTTCACACTTACTCCACTGCCCAGTATCTCCAACAGTTTGACCTTCTGTGTCACAGATAAACATAAATGCTTTATTTTCTTATCACTATTATCCACAGGGGTATTTACAGACCTTTGTGACATTTTCTTTCTTTCTTTCCTTCCTTCCATCCCTCCCTCCCTCCCTCCCTCCCTCCCTCCCTTCCTTCCTTCCTTTCCTTGTTTCCTTCTTTCCTTCCTTCCTTTCTTTGTGACAGAGCCTCATTCTATTATCCAGGCAAAGTCCAGTGGCATGATCTTGGCTCACTGCAACCTCGGCCTCCTGGGTTCAAGCGATTCTTGTGCCTCAGCCCCCTGAGTAGCTGGGATTACAGGTGCGTGTCACCACACCAGGCTAATTTTCATATTTCAGTAGAGGGGTTTCACCATTTTGCCCAGGCTGGTCTCAAACTCCTGAACTCAAGTGATCTACCTGCCTCGGTTTCCCAAAGTGCTGGGATTACAGACGTGAGCCACTGCACCTGGCCAACATTTTCAACAATATCATTAGACCTCAGAGCAGATAGTAAGCAAAAACACCACAGTGAGCAGTGGACAGAGGCAGGCCTTGGCTCCATATGGGAAATTGTGGGGACCTGTCACGGGTGTCTTCCATCTGCACACATGCCATTTCACCATCCTTTGTGTGCACACTTGCATGGGGGAATCTGGGTGTGCACAAAAAAGATATCTCTCAGCTGAAGAGGGCTGGGAGAGTCTTTTTTGCCCTTAGGGATGCTGAATAAACAGCGTGTTGTCTGCCTGTGTTTTGATTGCAACCCACCCCATAATATCAGGTGTGGAATTTTCCACTTGTGATGTAATATCAGAGCTCAAAAACTTTTAAATTTTCGACCATGTTGGATTTGGGATTTGGAGGTCAGGAATGCTCAACCCATATGGTACTATTCATATGAAGTGTTTTTTTTTTGAGACCGAGTCTTTCTGTCACCCAGGCCAGGTGCCTCCCAAGCAGCTGGGACTACAGGCCAGAGTGCAGTGGAGAGATCTCGGCTCACTGCAACCTCAACCTCCCAGGTTCAAGCGATTCTCGTGCCTCAGCCTCCCAGGTACCTGGGATTACAGGCATGTGCCACCACACCCTACTAATTTTTGTATTTTTAGAATGGATGGGGTTTCACCATGTTGGCCAGGCTGGCAGGCTGGTCTCTAACTCCTGATCTGCCTCCGCCTCCCAAAGTGCTGGGATTACAGACATAAGCCACTGCACCCGGCCTTATTCATATAAATTTTTAAAAATGTAAACCATCCTGTCTGTTGCACATGGATATACACATGGAAAAGCGGCCTAAGAGTGCCTGAGAATGGTGAGTACCAATTTCAAGAAACATTACCTGCAAGAAGGTGGAAGATGGGGGAAGAGAAAGATGCAGGAATACAGAGTGGCTTCAAATTTATCTGTAATTTTTTGGATTCCAAAAAATATCTGAAGCAAACATTGAGCACACATATTAAGATTTGACAAGACTAGGCAGTAAGCTCATTGAAATCCACTATATTTATTGATTGCTATACTTCAAAGTGTATTTGAAATTTACATTATTTAACAACACATTTATATGTAATCAAATAGAGTTCTTTTAAGCATATTAAATTTAAAATTTTATTTTCAAATTTTAAAATTTACTTTTGGCCAGAATTCAGTAACATGGACACTTTAACACAGTGCTAGTTAGAAGGTATATTGATACAGGACTTCTGGAAAGCAAGATAGAAATATTTGTGTAAAAGAAAAAAGCCTTTTAAAATATTCTGTACCAGTTAACTCAATAGTTCTACGGAAGGAAATCTATTCTAAATAATCTTAAATTCACAAGATTTTGTAGAAAGATATTTATGACACTGTTATTTTTAATATTAATATAATGGAGGGGATGTTAAACTATGGTAATTTGCAGCCATTAAAACCTTTTACAAAGCATTTGTAATAATGGAGAAATCTCTACTTCGTAATGTTGATAGAATAAAGAAAATGCTTCATTTTATACATGGTAAGCTCAGCCTGCTTTCAGTAAAGCCTGAATATATTTGACAATATTAAGGAATATTGTTACTTTTTAAATCAGATCTTATCATCTTGAGATATATTCTTAAGTACTGAGGGAAATCGAATAATGTGGGATTTCCCCAGTTGGAGTAAGCGTGGCTATTCCTGCTTAGAGGAAAGAATGGACCTTGTGTGGTCACTGACAGGTGGTGGGTTCATTATTCTTTCTCCTTTTTTTTGTTTTTTTTTTTTTTTTTTTAATTTAAGAGACAGAGTCTGGCTCTGTTGTTCAGGCTGGAGTGCAGTGGCACCATCATAGCTCGCTGCAGCCTTAAACTCCTGGGCTCAAACAATCCTCCCGCCTCAGCCTCCCAAGCAGCTAGGACCACAGGTATGTGCCACCACATCAGGCTAATTTTGTTTTAATTTTTTGTAGAGATAGGGATCTCACCGTGTTGCCCAGACTGGTCTCCAACACTTGGGCTCAAGTGATCCTCCTGCCTCTGTCTTCCAAAGTGCTGGGGTTACAAGCAAGAGCCACTGCATCTGGCCTCTACTTTTGATATTTGAAAGTGTCCATAACAAAAGAAGCTTTCATAAGTCTGAAACACACAAAATGTTGACACTGATTATATTTACAGGTTGGATCCAAGTGGGTTTTCCAATCCTCTGCATTCCTTTGTTCAGTATGTTTACATTTATGCCCATTTTAAACTTTTAGGAAAAGAGGAGCAAGTACAGTCATGCCTCGCCTAGTAACAGAGATAGTTTCTGGGAAGCTTATCAGATGATTTCCTCGTTTTGCCAACATCACAGAGGACTTACACAATTCCAACGGGGTAGCCTGCTATGCACTGAGGCTGCATGGCCTCGCCTGCTGCTCCGAGACTGCAAAGCTGTGCAGCATGAAGCCTGCTGAATTCTGCAGCCAACCGTAACACAATGGTAAGGATTCGTGTATCTAAACCTAGAAAAGGTACAGTAAAAACACGAAATCGGCCGGGCGCGGTGGCTCAAGCCTGTAATCCCAGCACTTTGGGAGGCTGAGGCGGGTGGATCACGAAGTCAAGAGATCGAGACCATCCTGGTCAACATAGTGAAACCCCGTCTCTACTAAAAATACAAAACATTAGCTGGGCATGGTGGCACGTGCCTGTAATCTCAGCTACTCAGGAGGTTGAGGCAGGAGAATTGCCTGAACCCAGGAGGCGGAGGTTGTGGTGAGCCGAGATCGCGCCATTGCACTCCAGCCTGGGAAACAAGAGCGAAACTCCGACTCAAAAAAAAAAAAAAAAAAAAAGACACGAAATCATCATCTTACGGGACCACCAAGGCATGTATCAGCAGGCATTAACAGAAAGGTCGTTAGGCTCCACACGACTGTAGGAAAAGCTTTCATTTACTCTTTTCCCACTGTGCGTGTGTGTGTGGGCGGGGTGGGGGGTGGGGCTGTATAACAACCTACATTTACACGCCACTAAATTATTCTGTTTTTTGTTTTGTTTTATTTTATTTTTTATTTTTTTGAGACCAAGTCTCGCTGTGTTGACCAGGCTGGAGTGCAGTGGCATGATCTCAGCTTACTGAAACCTCAGCCTCCCGGGTTCAAGCAATTCTCCTGCCTCAGCCTCCTGAGTAGCTGGGATTACAGGCATGCACCACCACGCCCAGCTAATTTTTGTGTTTTTACTAGATACTGGGTTTCACCATGTTGACCAGGCTGGTCTCAAACTCCTGACCTCAGGCGATCCACCTGCCTTAGCCTCTGAAAGTGCTTGGATTACAGGAGTGGCAACCGCCTGTGGACCCCAGCCCTAAATTTTTTCATTTAACTTTCATTTTAAGTTCAGGGGTACATGTGCAGGTTTGTTTATAGGTAAACCTATGTCTTGGGGGTTTGTTGTACAGATTATTTCGTTTTCAAAGAGAATTTGCAAGTATCTCACAAAAGCCTTATCAACATGCTGTAAGATTTTAAGAAGTAATGGCAGAGGCTTGGAGATGTCTCGTCCTGTCCAAAGTCACCCCTAGACCTGAGAATCTGCACGTGGGAGCTTACAGACCCGGTTCTCAGGCTTCACTTGAGACCCCAAGAAAGAAAAAACCCACCTGTCAAAGAGGAGGATGGCAGCCTGGAAGAACCGAAGGAAGCCAGGCGCAAAGGTGAAGCACGGTGGCTCATCTCCCGCTTTTCCTCCCTCCCACTCTCTCCTTCTAATACGAGGCATTTTCTTGGGGAGCAAAGCTGCAGCAGGAATTCGGCCAAGTCAGAGCTGGGGCCCCAGCGGGCGCCAGTCGCCGCGGGAGCGATCAGGTGCCAGGGGCTGTGCTCTGCCCGGGCCAGAGCGCACAGGCAGGACCCCGCGTCTCCGCGCCGCGGCGACACCTCCACGGGCACTCACCCCGGCTCAAAGCCGAGCGCAGGGCCCCAGAGGAAGACCTGGAAAGTCGAAGTCGCGCAGCTGGAGGTGACCAGCGCGGGGCGAGGTCCAGTGGATCCGAGCGCAGAGGGGACTGGAGAGAGTCTGCTCTCCCACGGCTTCGCCCACTCTCTCCGCAGTGTGGACACCGAACCAAGCGCACTCTCGGGGTCCTGGAGCACGAGGAGCGCGGAGAACCGGGAGCCTCCCCGGCTTGCGTGGGTAAGGTCCTGGGGCCCCACGCGGCACGGCTCGCGGCGTCCCGAGGACAGGGGCGGCTGTGCGGGGCTGCGGCGTCCAGTGGGGCTCCTTCCCCAGCAGGGGTGGGGACGCTGAGTCACGGATCTGTCACCGCTCTGCACCTCTCCGCAGCCCTCCGGGGGCCAAAGCAAAAGCGAAAGCGAATGCGCCTGGCGGGACTGCAGGTCCCAGAGCCGCGCTCGCCAGCTCCCCGGGGCCTGGGCAGCGCTCGCCCGGGGCGCCCAGCGGGGCCCTGCGAAGCGGCGGCCATGGCCCGGCGGCGGGCGCGCGGCTGCAGGACCCTGGGCCTCCCGGCGCTCCTACTGCTGCTGCTGCTCCAGCCGCCGGCGACGCTGGGTAGGGAGCTGGGGGCCAGAGCTCCTGGGCGGGGCTCGGGAGGGGGCTGGGGCGTCGAACAGGACGGAACCGAGAGCCCCATCCCCTCCCCCGGCTGCGGTGTCGGTGCCTCCCAAGCGCTGTGCGCTCAGACCCGGGCAGGGGAGGGGCGCGGCGCCTGGCGGGAGCGACACATTTGGGGAGCGGGGGTCGCTGGGGGAGCGCGGTGGCTGCATCCGGGTCACCCACGGAAGGGAGCGGACGGCCGGGCTGGGGTCCCCGAAGCCGAGGGCAGGACCAATTCCGAGAAGCCAGTTTTGGCCACACAGAGCCGGCGGTGCCCAGCAGTTCCGAGACACGCGCGAGTGCACTTCTCCCAGGCGCGGGGACAGCAGGGCGTGTGTTGCAAGGCACGCGGTCTTCAGAGGGGTCCAGGAGAAACGACCCCTCCCAGCTCCCAGGCAAAAGTAAATTATGTCAGTGGGAGCTCAGAGGCTGGCGAGGAACTAGGTCCCGGGGGGAAACGCGTTGGGCAAGTCGCACACCTGGGGACCGGGAAACAACTTCCAATTCTTAAGCTATCAGGAAACCGGCAGAGGCCGCCGGGACGGGGTGGGAGCGGGAGATTGAAAGTGGGGGGAGTCTACACTCTCAGGAAAAGCGGGGACGAAGTCTGGTGATCCCTTTGTGTATTCCAGAAGAATGTGATCTTGGCAGTGAGGGTGGAATAAGCGATTTCTTGAGTTTTGTCCCGGGTCCCAGAGGAAGGAAGAGAAACAGTAGCTGGGTCTAGCTTTATCCTTGTCAGGATACAGCGCTTCATCAACTTTTTATAGTCTGGGAGCTTTTCGAGGGTCTGGTGAAAGCTATGAACCCCCTCCCCAGAAAGACGCACGAATGCATTTACTTACAAAACGTGCATATGATTTTGGGGACAAAGACCCGCTGAAGGCCATCCATGGACTCTCTATAGGACTTAGTAACCCCATTATCTATGTGTGTTTTTAAGCAAGACCCCAGTAATTTACACCCAGTCAGGCCCGTCTACCCAGGCCCTGGCCAAAGCCATTCCATGCACAGTTGCTGCTGGCTGGTGTGGCCTGAACGCCCCAGCTCTGTGGGGTTTCATGAAGTTTCGTTTTCGTGAGACTGGTGCTTGGATTTTCCCCCACATCTGAGAAGCAGAGTTATGTTGGTGACCTGGTTGCTACCTCCCAGCTGGCTAGCAGTGTCACAGGACCCCGACAGCCAGCAACTGGGGCAGCTGTGTTACACAATGTGAAAGTGAAATGCAGCCTCAGTCAGAGCCCAGCAGCCAGGAGGTGTCTTCCTGGAAAAGACTGATAGGAGAGCACCACTGCCAGATTGCTAATCTCATCAGCTGCACAGCTTTGCTCTTTGACCTTAAAAAGGTGTTGCTGCCTACCCTTCCCTTCCCAAAGCTCTGGTGTATTTTTTTTTCCTTTTTTTTTTTTTTATGTAGAGTCTCACTCTGTCACCCAGGCTGGGGTGCAGTGGTGTGATTTCAGCTCACTGCAACCTCTGCCTCCCAGGTTCAAGCAATTCTCCTGCCTCAGCCTCCCGAGTAGCTGGGATTACAGGCACGCACCACCACACCTGGCTAATTTTGTATTTTTAGCAGAGATGGGGTTTCAGCAAGTTGGTCAGGCTGGTCTTGAACTCCTGACCTCATGATCCACTCACCTCTGCCTCCCAAAGTGCTGGGATTACAGGCGTGAGCCACCACACCCCACCGATGTTGTTTTGTTTTTTGGGTTTTTTTTAACAGCTTTATTGAGTTATAATTGACAGACAATAAACTGTATATACTTAAGTTGCATACTTGGATAAGTTTGGAGGTAAATGCATACGTACTCATGAAACCACTGCCACAACCAAGAGTGAACACACCTATCGCTACCAAAGGCTTCCTCATGCCCTGCACAATCCTTACCTCCCACCTCTCATCTCCCGGGACACCACTTATCTGCTTTTTTGACACTATCAATTTGATGTATTTTCTAGAATTTTTTTTTTTTTGAGACACAGTCTCATCCTGTTGCCCAGGCAGGGTTGCAATGGCACAATCTCAGCTCGCTGCAACCCCCACCTCCCAGATTCAAGCAATTCTCCTGCCTAATAGCTGGGATTACAGGTACACACCACCAAGCCTGGCTAATTTTTTGTATCTTTAGTAGAGGTGGGGTTTTACCATATTGGCTAGGCTGGTCTCACGACCTTGTGATCCCCCCGCCTTGGCCTTCCAAAGTGCTGGGATTACACTCCTGAGCCATCACACCCTGCCTGGAATTTTATATAAATGGAATCGTACAGTAGGAACTCGTTCTTGTTTGGCTTCTTCACAGAGAATAATTATTCTGATAATTTATCTGTGTTGTAATTTGTATGGATAGTTCATTCATTTCTACCACTGCGTACTATTCTACCCATGGCTAGCCCACCATTTGTTTAGCCGCTCACTTGTTAAGGGGCATGTGGGTTGTTTCCAGTTTGGGACTATTACATAGAACGCTGCTATGAACACTAACATACAGGTTTCCCAAAAGTGGTTGTACTGTATTACATTCCCACAGCAGTGCAGGGAATTCCAGTTCCTTCACACATTTGTCAGCCCTTGGTATGATGAGTCTTTTTAATTTTAGGCATTCTAATAGGTATGTAGAGGGTCTCTCCTTGTAGTTTTAATTTGCATTTTTCTAACAGCTAGTGATGTTAAGCATCTTGTCATGTGCTTATTTGCCGTATATATACCTTCTCCAGTAGTGTCTGTTTATATCTTTTTTGTTCTTTAAAAATTGAGTTGTGCCAGGTGCGGTGGCTCACGCTTGTAATCTCAGCACTTTGGGAGGCCGAGGTGGGTAGATCACGAGGTCAGGAGTTCAGGACCAGCCTGGTCAAGATGGTGAAACTCTGTTTCTACTAAAAAATACAAAAATTAGCCAGGTTCGGTGGTGCACACCTGTAATCTCAGGTACTCAGGAGGCTGAGGCAGGAGAATTGCTTGAACCCGGGAGGCAGAGGTTGCAGTGAGAAGAGATCGAGCCACTGTACTCTAGCCTAGCCTGGGCAACAGAGCAAGACTCTGTCTCAAAAAAAATATCATAATAAGTTGTATCAGCTGGGTGTGGTGGCTCACCTGTAATCCCAGCACTTTGGGAGTCAAGGCAGGCAGATCACTTGAGGCCAGGAGTTTGAGACTAACCAGGTCAACTTGGTGAAACCCATTCTCTACTAAATACAAAAATTAGCCAGCCATGGTAGTCCATGCCTGTAATGCCAGCTACTCAGGAGGCTGAGGGTTTCTGTGCAGGGGAGCATTACTGGAGCTGCGTGGTGGAAAGGTTGCTCTTGTTCAGAGTGTGAAGCACGAACTGTAGTCAGGAGAGCCTAGAGAACAGAACCTGCATTGAGGCTTTTGCAGTCATTCTGGTGGGTGGCGATGGAATCCTGAACGAAGGTGGTGTCAGGGCAGGAGACAGAAGAGGCTGATGTCTTCTCGAGTCCTAAAATTGTAGAATGTATTTCATTATTTTCCTTTTGTTTGCTCTTCAGCCTATAGCCCTCAACTCTTGCGAGCCTCCAAAATCATGATTTAAGGACTTGAGCTATGGAGAAATCACCTGGCACACAAGAGCTGAGTCAGAAAGCTCAGTTAATGAGCCTGAGAGAGAAAGAAAAAATTGCCGCATTTCAGACAGTCAGCTGGAGATGGTCTGTACTTGTAGCGAGCTCCAAAAGGAAGTGCGCTGGCTTGGCTGACATTTCAGTGGGGAAAATAAGGAAGGAAGGTGGTGGGTGACTGTGAGGCCAGAGGCCTTTGCCTTTTTGGTACGCCAGCTCCACTGTAAGCGTCCTGAGGGCAGGAACCACGCCCCACACGTCTCTGCCTCCTACCGCTCTTAGCTCCTGCAGGCATTTGAAAGGTGCAGTAAGCGAAGGGAATGTTGGAGTCAATTCTGACTCTGCTTCGTGGGGGCAAGGGCACGCTAACCCTACAACCTCTGAACTCTGGATATGAGACCAGGCCCTGGGTCCCTGCTCTTATTAGACTCTGTAAACCAACCTGATAGATAAGGGAGACTGATTCACAAGTTCTGGGAAGCAGAAAGAGGTGTGGCACCATACACTACTTTAGTGACTTCATTTAAATGATCGGTAAGGCTTGTTGTATATGTTTTTTGGC